AAGCCAGGCAAAAATCCCGAAAATTGCGGCAGTTACCGGCCGATCTCACTCCTTAACACGGATGTGAAACTCTTCTCCAAAATCATCGCCACAAGACTACAAACGTATGTCCAGCGCCTAATCCACCCTGACCAAACAGGTTTCGTGACAGGCCGGGAAGCCAGGGACTGCACTCTAAGGGCGTTCTCTATACAGGCATTGGCCCTTAAGGGAGACACGGAGTTGCTAATGCTCTCCACAGATGCTGAAAAGGCATTTGATCGGGTAACGTGGAGCTTCATGATGGCAACACTGCATAAGGTCGGCCTAGGACCGGGAATGATAGCCTGGATAGAGGCGCTCTACGCTAACCCTAATGCCAGAGTGAGGGTGAATGGCGCACTCACAGACAGCTTTACCATACACAATGGCACTAGGCAGGGCTGCCCGCTATCGCCGCTCCTATTTGCCCTCTCGTTGGAGCCGTTCTTGGACAGGATAAGGCAAACCCCAGAGATTAGGGGGTTTAGACATAAGGACCAGGAACATAAGGTAGCCGCATACGCAGATGACATGCTCTTTTTTATCGACAACCCTATCAACTCCATGCCGGCTCTGATGGAGGAATTTGACATATACGGCCGGGTATCGGGACTGAAGCTAAATCAAACTAAATGCGAACTGTTGAACGTGTCGGCCCCAACAGCTGTAAGGGAACGGATCGAACACGAATTCCCCTTCCACTGGTGCCCAGGCCAGATGCGTTACCTGGGAATTTGGATACCCAGCGAACCGAAAGAGATAAATGCCAGAAACTACACGCCCCTTCTACGCACAATACTGCTCGACCTCAAAAATTGGAACTTTGACCACATATCCTGGCAGGGACGCATAGCGGTGGTTAAAATGAATATTCTACCAAGGTTGCTTTACCATTTTCACACCATCCCCTGGCACGTACCCCCAGAATTCTTTACAACACTTAAATCGGCGGTGATAAAATATGTCTGGAAGGGAGAGAGAGCACGACTCAGCTACGACAAATTGTGTCTACCCAAGAACTGGGGCGGACTGGCGCTACCCGACGTTCGCAAATATTTTCAGGCCACGGTTTTACAACGGATTAGAGATTGGCACACAGCACCTGAACACAAATTGTGGGCTGCCTTGGACAGGGAGAGTACGAACAAGGCCCTCCACATGTATATATGGCAAGGCACAGCGGACGCGGCACCAAAACTGGGCAATGAATCACCCATCGTACAAACGCTGAAGACGTGGTCTTCCCTGAGGCGAAACCAATATATCTCCCCACAACCAAGCCCCTTGATCCCGATAACACACAATAGCATGATAGGCGGGGGACTACACCGATCTGCCTGGCCGATAGATGGAGACGGAGATTATATCCCGTTGTCCAAGGTCCTGAGCAACACAGGAATGAGAAACCTGCCAGAATGGAGCACGGCGACACTACACACGCTGATGCACAGATTTCGATACACACAATTGCGGCACTTCTACTACAACCTTCCCAACCGTGAAGCGATCCACAGAGAACAGATGTGGTTCGAACACCTCTGCGTGACAAACACCGACACAGACGGCAGAGTATCAATCCTTTACCAGCAGTTGATCACAGGGGATCGCACACGTAAAAATGCATTTAAGAGGCAATGGGAAGAACTGACGGCAAGGACGTACACAGAGGCGCAATGGGAGCAGATATTAATATTACAACACAAGAGCTCCATAAGCACAAGGTATCAGGAGGTCAACTTCAAATTACTCTCACACTGGTACAGAACCCCATCTCTATTACACAGGATATTCCCGGGAATGACAGATACGTGCTGGAGATGCGAATCCCAAACAGGCACCCTACTACATATCTGGTGGGACTGCGCGCGGATTAAACCATACTGGGAAGACATCAAGAGGGAGATAACGACAATCGTGGGTGACTTACCAGAATTTACCATGGAAATGGCCCTACTACACTTTACGGAAAGCTCGATAGCCCAATATAAGAGATCGATACTGAGACACCTGCTCAATGCTGCGAAAGCGTCTATACCAGCTAAGTGGAAGCAGATCCACCCACCAACCGTAGCAGAATGGCTACAGAGAGTTGAGGAAATACACACAGCTGAGGCACGATACGCAGAACTACTAGGGAGAAGCACCAGACATGTCGACATCTGGACCCCATGGTATGTTTATCTCTCCCGTACCAGAACTTAGAGAGGCACGAGCTCACTGCGACACCCGGGGGTTGGGGATGCCCGGGCGCACTCCGATGTAAACTGCTCACAGACCCTTCCACACCCCCTTCCTTTTCCTCCTACTCCTCCCCCCTTTTTATACCTGCTACAACTACTGCTTGCGTGTAACTTCACTAAGGGACACCGCGGGGGCGGTGCGGCTTGCGGCCGAGGGGGTCGGAACCGGGAGGGCTCGAACACGTTGACGCACAAGATATTACCATGACGTGTAGATAGTTCTACTGACATGATCTTCCGACTTACACAAGACTGAAAGACAGCGGCAGAACAGGCTCTGACGCATGGAGAACATGTCATCGAGGTAGGACATAACTAACTACTGAGCGGATAGGAGCTAAGCAATAGATTAACAATTCATCAAGGTGACTAGACACAGACATAACCCATACCCGACCTAGGGGACACACAAACAGACCCAACCCATTAGGCTAACTCCGACCTCATAATTTCCCCTGGGGTTCACTTCTACGGGAGGCTCCGAGTGGAAGCCTGGATTCAAGGAATCGCCCCCTGATCTGCACTGCATCAGGCACTAGAAACTGAATCCCAGTGTTGGCAACATAATATTGACACGTGTGCATGAGACCTTGAATTGAGCTTTACAGTTTATGTCCCAAATGTCAATCAATAATACTGCTCCTGTATACGGACTTCATGCATCATATCCGTCTTAATTCTGTTGTTACTACGATGTTACTGCCTTATTTTTCCTGCCAACCTTGCTAGTTCGGAGACACAGCAGCATACTATAATTTAGAGAGGAAGCGTTGCCACGTTTTTACTAAGCTATTCAATCTAGAGTTTTTATCTGTTCTGTAAATGCGTTCTTATGCACCGATGTTACTATTGTATTCATTTTCCTGTTAAACGATATGGCGCTTGACGACTATTGAGTATTCAGGATCGCGCATGATCAACACTTGTATTATCAGAAATATGTATACATTTACTTATACTCCCTCTCAATACTAATGTTCTTTTGACGGCACGTTCATTTCGTGTCGCCTATAATCCTCCCTTGCACTCGAGCGGCCAATCATTAAGATTGCCGCGCCCTCCCCAAACCCCTTCCTCTTCTCTGAACATAATGCTCCTTCAAAACTACCGCCCACCTCCTCGTGCTGTGCAAGCACGCCCCTATCTTGTCGGCTAGCACTCGCACAGTCAATTTACTTCCGCCTACTACATTTCCCAATGTAGTGCTTACAGCCAGCTATAGTAGTTTACTACATTTTCCAAGGAGCATTGCTCCTAGCCGATCACGTGATGACACATTATTTAAGTTATTTCTATGTACACACTTCGTTTTAAATACATTTCTATATCATCATGTTCCCAGTAGTACACTCTATAATATCATTAATTCTATTTATTTTTAAAACAATTTTATTATGTTTGTTATCATCTGCTTTGTGATTGGCTGACCTAATTTTTGGCGCCAATTTTAAGTTACACTCTCTTATTTAAACTCTGTATGCCAGGTATGATTGTCTATACCATTTTGATAAAGCCTTTTTATGGTGAAAAGCATTAATGGTTTTAAACTGTGTATTTTAAGCAATAAAAATTTTGGGGGGATTATTATATATATTTTATACCAATTCTTTTTTTATTGAATTTTTTTGCACTTTTTTACTCTCCTGGCATCTTTCTATTTTATCCTGTATCCTGTACCAAAGAAATCCGAGGTGGGGATTATTCCACCAGCGCTGAGTTAATAGAGCAGTATCCTCTGCTCTATACTTGTAAGTAAATTTTATTTATTTTATTTTCATTCCATTATATACTGAGAGCACTATCGCTGTTTTCTTACATATACCCTGGAGCACTGCCTAACCAGACTGGATTGACGGACGTACCTCTCCACTATATCCATTAGCGGGGATCATACAGCTACATGCCCTTTACCCCAGAGCTGGCTGGAGCTCTCCTAAATGTGAATGTATTACCTTCATTTTAATAATTCTTTTTCTGGATCCTGACGATATTACACCTTTGGCTATTTAGTCGTTTTCCCTTTTCTCTCCACATATACCGATATTTTAAACCATTCGGACGGATCAACTCCTGAGGATTGCCAACTTCCCCCCCTATCCTGGTATATAGAGAGACTTTTTATGTGACTTTTATTTACCATTTTTATTTCTGAATTTTATTGAATGCTTGGGACCTCATTCATTGCTCTATTTTTATAGGCCTACTTTGTTGTATCTCCATTTAGACCATTTGGTCTGGTTGTTTGTTATTATAGATTACTGATTATAACCTCGGGCGCAGCCCTTACTCCTTTTGTATTTTTTTTATAGGTAACAATGGTAGCATTATTGTAGTAAAGTAATAATGGTGAACGAAATCTGGTGAATTTCAATCTGTACCTTAAAGTTGCAGCGTTCAATTGAAGAGGCTTGTTGCAGAGATGGTGGGGTATTTGGTTTAGACTTTTTTTGTCCATACCAATATTAAGGAAAAAAATAAAATAATGAACCAAAAGGGTGGGTATATGGACAAATCAGAAATCAGTGTTCTGCAAATATTTAATATAAGTATTTTGTATATTTTGAACATATTTTGCAGCACACTTATTTTCCCTTGATACTGATAGACAATAATAGAACTAATCTGAAAGTTCAATAGAGCATTGCTCAGAGCATTTAACAATGTACAATGATTTGTACATGCACAGGCCATTAATACACTGTTATCATAACTTTTTTCAAAAGCTGCTCTCCATATTATCATGCAGCTACATTTTCACACTGTCATGTATATTTACCTTGTTCACATTTTGGCAGCTCTGGTCCCCATCCGTTGTTATAGCACTGGATGAGTTCTGATCCTTTCAATGTGTAATCAGGTGGGCATGAAATCTGCGCAACTTCACCAATCTTATAGTCTCTTCTCTGAGATATCAGATTAGTACCTTCTACCACACATTTATATTCTGAAATAAGAAAACAAAACAATACTCTCTATTAGTGTTCTATATCTTAGTCTTTGAGATTGCACCATTCATTATATATTACCTTTATGAGATAAAGTTATCTTTTTACAATATATGTATATGTATTTTGTATGATTTGTAAGACAATATGCAAATTACATTTTATTATGGGTAACAGATATACCCATGTTATCTACAATCCTGAAAAGTTACAAAGATATTCAGTATCAGAGAAGATCAAAAGCTGGTTTGGCCTATAGAGGTCTTTCTCCAGGAAATTAGCTATGAATGAACAAATTAACACATGAAACATGGTAACATTTAAGGGTCTTTGCATATTTTGCAAACACCCTGATAGTATAGCAAAGGTGCAGTAGAGGTGAGTTGTATCAACCTTATGCTGCCCTTTGCCATCATCGATATTCAGCTACTGGCACTTCATGCTCTGGCACTTGTCATGCATGCATGACAGTACAACACTGATGTGTATGGAAGTCTCGATACTTGTGGTCTCATGATGACCTAGGGATAGTAAACCTTCGTCACTCCAGATGTTGTGGACTACATCCCCCATAATGCTTTTACACCCATAATGCTGACAAAGCATCATGGAAGGTGTAGTCCAAAACATCTCGAGTGCCAAAGGTTGCCTATGCCTGAGCTAGATAATGCTTTATTCCCTCAGTTGTTGTTAGTGATGGCTGTGGGAACTGACAAAACTTGAGAGCAGCATCTTATGTTTTACCATAAGAGAAAGTAATCAATATTTTAGCTTATGATATATGTTGACTGCATTGGAATTTCAATGAAAGTCTTTGAGCATTTCATAAAGATTTCATCTTTACAACTCAAATATTTAAGAAAGCTGTACTGCGCTGAAGTTCATATGAGCTTTTATATTCATTATTGTGCTTTAAGAAAATAGACCCATGTAGAAATATCATAGATGCAGAAATGCATATGCTCAAAGTATAGGTATATGGAAAAAATAATGTTGACTAGGTTTAATAGTTTTTAACTTTTTTTAATAGTAAAGTTGATTGCACAGCTAAACGGTATGAATTATATTATTGGGAAATAAAAAATATTCTCATTAATAAAGAGAAACTTTCTCCTTTTGTCCTTAACCTCTTAAGGACACATGACGTGTGACATGTCGTGATTCCCTTTTATTCCAGAAGTTTGGTCCTTAAGGGGTTAAGGTTCTCTTATTATCATAAATTGTCTAGTTATAGTGCTTTCTCAAAGTGGAACGTGCTGCCTTATACTTTGTATTTTTATATTCCAAAATTAAATCAACAAATATTGCTTTTCATCTTTCGTGATGCATTCCTTTCTTTTTAATTAAAATTGTTTAACAATCTTAGGATAGAACATTAAATATCAGTGAGGTGTACAGGACCAGCCTCATTCCTTACTCATCACCATTATAAAACATTATATTTTCTTGCTATTCTAAATCTTTTAACGTAGAGTTAGGAGAGTAGGTTGGTTCCCTACAATAAAATACCGGAGTTAAGACCCAGGAACACAATATAGCGTAACAAATTTACCAATATTTAATTGAGCTTGAGTCTGAAATAGGGTCCAAAATCCGCTTTATATCAATTTAAGGAATTAACTCTTATAGGGGGAGGAGAATGAATAACCCTCAAATAAAAACTTAAATAAGCAAGCTTCAGCTTTGGCACAAATGTTAAATAAATGTTGCTGGTTCAATGAATGGAGCTCCTATCATCCAGGTGAGGGTGATTACACTCATTTTTCAAGAGTGCATCTCTCTCACTCGAGGATCGATTTGACATGGGGAGATTTACATGTATTGGAATCTATAAAGAAGATAGAAATTAAAAATAACACCTGGTCAGACCATAACATACTTGTATGGGAAATTAATGAGGTAGGGTTGCCCACAAAAAGATCTACTTGGCGTTTAAATGATTACCTACTGTATAATAGCTTTAATATCAAAGTAATATAAAAACAACAACAAAAAACAAAGAGGAATTCATATCCAAAAACGATCCAAATTGATACATCCCACATCACTAATTGGTGTGCTCTCAAAGCAGTTTTAAGAGGGGACTTCATAGATCTAAATAGCAAACTATGCAAAAAAAGAGGGAAGAGCTTGTCAAAAGTATATATCTGCCTTAACCGATTAACACAAGCCAACAAAGATAGACCACAAAAACAACAAGATGAACTATTAACCCGGTAAGGACTGAGCCAAATGTACACGTTGTGAACAAAACAAAACGTAAACAAAACCTAACATTTGCGCTAGAATGTGACGGCAGATAAGAACCATTCGGCCCATCTAGTCTGCCCAATTTTCTCAATACTTTCATTAGTCCCTAGTCTTATCTTATAGTTAGGATAGCCTTATGCCTATCCCACGCATGCTTAAACTCCTTTACTGTGTTAACCTCTACCACTTCAGCTGGAAGGCTATTCCATGCATCCACTACCCTCTCAGTAAAGTAATACATCCTGATATTATTTTTAAACCTTTGTCTCTCTAATTTAAGACTATGTCCTCTTGTTGTGGTAATTTTTCTTCTTTTAAATATAGTCTCCTCCTTTACTGTGTTGATTCCCTTTATATATTTAAATGTTTCTATCATATCCACCCTGTCTCGTCTTTCCTCCAAGCTATACATGTTAAGATCCTTTAACCTTTCCTGGTATCCCGCAATCCATGAACCAGTTTAGTAGCCCTTCTCTGAACCCTCTCTAAGGTATCAATATCCTTCTGAAGATACGGTCTCCAGTACTGTGTACAATACTCCAAGTGAGGTCTCACCAGTGTTCTGTACAATGGCATGAGCACTTCCCTCTTTCTACTGCTAATACCTCTCCCTATACAACCAAGCATTCTGCTAGCATTTCCTGCTGCTCTATTAGACTGTCTGCCTACATTTAAGTTATCAGAAATAATCACCCTTAAATCCCTTTCCTCATATGTTAGGACTCTCAAATATTCTGTACTCTGCCCTTGGGTTTTTACGTCCAAGATGCATTATCTTGCACTTATCCACATTAAATGTCAGTTGCCACAATTCTGACCATTTTTCTAGTTTACCTAAATCATTTGTCATTTGGCTTATCCCTCCTGGAACATCAACCCTGTTACATATCTTGGTATCATCAGCAAAAAGACATACCTTACCATCAAGACCTTCTGCAATATCACTAATAAAAATATTAAAGAGAATGGGTCCAAGTACAGATCCCTGAGGTACCCCACTGGTGACAAGTCCAAGCTTCGAATATATTCCATTAACTACAACCCTCTGTTGCCTGTCACTCAGCCACTGCCTTACCCATTCAACAATATTGGAATCCAAACTTAAAGATTGCAGTTTATTGATAAGCCTTCTATGTGCAACAGTGTCAAAAGCCTTACTGAAATCTAGGTAAGCAATGTCTACTGCACCACCCTGATCTATAATTTTAGTTACCCAATCAAAAAAATCATGTCTGTCCAACCGTAATACACCTCTTTCACATTAAATGCACCCACCCTTATTATATATAATTTTATTCAGGGGAAACAGGGCTTTCATTTAATATCAAATATTTAGCTATGAAACATAATTTAATATGAAAAAATGGGAGAAAATAAGAAATGTTATTTTTTTTTAGTTCTACATGACATTTTAACTGTCAATGTCATAATACTGTTTGCTTTTACTGCAATAAAATACACATATTTATATTTTTATTTTTATATACATATTTTTAAGTCTCACGTGTAAAACAGTACCCCCTATGTACAGGTTTTATGGCGTTTTGGGAAGTTTCAGGGTCAAATAAAGCACGTTACATTTGAAATTTAAATTCGTCAGATTGATTACGTTGCCTTTGAGACTGTATAGTGGCCCAGGAATTTACACCCATAATGGCATACCATTTGCAATAGTAGACAACCCAAGGTATTGCAAATGGGGTATGTCCAGTCTTTTTAGTAGCCATTTGGTCACAAACACTGGCCAAAGTTAGCATTAATATTTGTTTGTGTGTGAAAAATGCAAAAAACGCCAATTTTGGCCAGTGTTTGTGACTAAGTGGTTACTAAAAAGGACTGGACATACCCCATTTGCAATACCTTGGGTTGTATACTATTGCAAATGGTATGCCATCATAGGGGTAATTTTCATTCTTGGGCTACCATAGGGTCTCAAAGGCAACGTAACCAATCTGGTGAATTTTAATATGAAAAAAAATGAAACACAAGCCTTATATTTAACACTATTACTTTTGAATACACCATAAAACCTGTAAATGAGGGGTACTGTTGTACTCGGGAGACTTCGCTGAACACAAATATTTGTGTTTCAAAACAGTAAAAAGTATCACAGCAATAATATCGTCCGTGTAAGTGCTGTTTGTGTGTAAAAAAAAAAAATACAAAAAACGTCAGTTTTACTGGCGATATCATAGTTGTAATACATTTTACTGTTTTGAAACACTGATATTTGTGTTCAGCGAAGTCTCCCGAGTAAAACAGTACCCCCATGTACAAAAATTAATAAATCAAAAAATTAGATATTACCACTAACAATCTAAATAAACTAAGATTAAAGTATTACGGCAAAGGCAAATGGTCTGATAAACTTCTAACTAATCAGCTAAGAAATAAAAAAAAAAGAAGAAATCGAGTCATAAAGATAGTTACAAAGTTATTGCAATGACTCCAGAGAAATTGTCAAATGCTATTACAGCTCCTTGTATAACCTCAATGGAAAAAATTATATACAAAAATAGACTATTTAATAAACTCCAATGTAAATAAAATATCAGAAGCTCAAAGAGAGGAAGTGAATTCCCCTATAACTAGAATAGAAGTAGAAAAGGAAATATCAAAATAAAGACCCCAGGCCCTGAAGGCTTTATTAATTTATTTTATAAGATTTTCAAAGAACAACTAAGCGATCAATTAGCTAAATTATTTAATTATATCGTTTTTCAAGGTACGTCTCCATCAGAAATGCTTCAAGCAAATCTGCTACCAATTCTAAAACAAGTAAAAGCCCACTAGCACTAGAAAATTACCAACCTATTTCTATAATCAATGGGGATGTCAAATTGTTTTTGTCATTTCTAACCAATAGATTGGAGACAAAGAAGAAACCTGCTCCAGTGGGAGACGAGGACCTTCTGATAAATCCTTAGCCATATTATCGTTTATATACTCTTGCAGCATCTGGTTCTCCTTAAGGGAAAGGGGATCAACAGTACCTCTAGGTGACATAGTCCATGGCAACAACTCTATGGCACAGTCATGGGACTGGTGCGGAGGTAGACTATCAGCTTTCCTTTTGTCGAAGAACTCTATTAGGTCTTGGTAGGTAGTAGGTATAACAGTAGATAAAGGAGGTGATATGGGAATATTAATACCTAAAGGCCTGAGCCTAGTGACACATCCCTCTATACAGGAAGGTCATCATTTCATGATCTCTACTTTCTCCTAGTCTATGAGAGGAATATATTTAGACAACCACGGATAACCAAAGACTATAGGGAAAGAAGGAAATGAAATCATTTGGAGAATTAGGATTTCCACATGAAGAACCCCAATCATTATATGAACAGGAATAGTTTCCTTAGTATTGGTGGGTTCCTCAAGTGGTGTACCATCTTTTGCCTCTGCAGCCAAGAGAGTTGTTCTTTCCCTGAGAGGGAGTGAATATTTATTGGCAAAGGACTTATCGATAAAATTCTCAGCAGCCCCAGAGTCCATAAGGGCTTGAGTGTGGACTACACTCCCATTTCACGGTGATGGGTAGTAGAAGCTGTGGTGGACCACCTGGCACCCTGACTGGGTTCCTCCGCCAACTGCTTCCTAGTACCTCTGAGTACTTCCAAGCACACCAGACACCATAACTACCTTAACCCCTTAAGGACACATGACGGAAATATTCCATCATGATTCCTTTTTATTTCTGAAGTTGTGTCCTTAAGGGGTTAAACCCCACAGCCAGCATTACAACTTGGTTGAGGTCTCGCTGTCCTCCACCCACCCTGAACCCAAGACCAGGATCCAGCTTCCAGTGGGTAGACTTCTCCTACTTCAGACAGTATAGCAGGATAGCTCTTACAAAAGTTAGTGTTGTAATCCAAGGGAGTATAGTGATAAAGCAATCCCCAGAGTGAACATAGCTGTTCCCTCCACACATGAGACAAGGCTCTATGTTGAGGGTGAAGAGGAACTCATTTTATAGCAGCCACAACTGGCCTCATATGCAGATACCCATGCAAGGGGTTTCCGGTTACATATTCCAGGAGCATTCCCCACTGGAGAGTAGGCAACAGCAAAGACATACACATGATTACATTGGCTCTCAGGTCCAGGACACTCCCACACAAAACAAGATAATCCCTCCTCTGAGCCTGGGAGATAATGGAGTCAGGAACTGTACTAAACTCAATTATCTCCAGGCACAGAAAACATACATTTTAACAACCTCTCGAAAGTAGCCCCAAAACACATGGAAACCCCCACAAAAGTCACATCCCCTGATAGCACCGATCTGGGGGACCAACATATCCAAAAATCACCAGATCGGTTCAGAGGTTCGGTATTTCCATGGAGGTCATAATTTGACTGACTGCAAACGAGGTTTCTGCCCAAAAGAGTTCCATGAAACCAGGCTGTGCAGTCGGTCTCTTTACAAAATACAACAATATAACAAACAGTACTGTTCGTAGGTGAGTTTGCTCCCACTGAACACCACTCTTCTCATACGAACGCCACTAAACATTCATGGAGATGGAAATCGCAGTGGTGTTTGTGCCGTTGAATGTTCGATTTGGGTTCCATACACTCAACGACCAAACATCGCTATACACGTTCGCAGGAACAAGATGGCCGCCACCTCGTGTTCGTCCATATGAACGGCGGCCACCCAGTCAACCGTTTAGAATGTTGCAGTTAACGAGGTTAATAATGTTAACAAGCGACACACTTCACTTCCAGGTAGTCCAACTGTTTGTTAGTTGGTTGGGCATATGAACAGCATAAGTATAATCCATTCGGTAAGCCCCATATACCAAACAATATAAGGGAAAAGGCACGTACAAAGCCTTTCCACAGTCCTGAACCAAAGTCTAATACATGGGCCATAGTCCTGGGGCAAGAGGGCGACAAGCAGGCCCCTCAAAGAGCCTGTGGCGAGGTAACCTTCACCACTGAAGCCTTTTGTCTGATTTGCTAGGCATGGAGACCTCATTGATAACACCCAAGGCCAGTCCTCCTTAGGCTCTGGAGATTTCCGACCTTTAAAGACAGGACAAAAGGTGATGTCCCCTCTTGCTACAATACATACACAAACCCTCTGTCTCTCGACTTCAGATAATCTAGTAATACCCACTTGCATAGGTTCAGGAATAGCTAATGCCATAGAATCGGATGGAAAGGAAGGAGCTAGCTGGATAGCCGGCCTTCTGGGTCTCTCTCTAGTGTTCGGTCTGTGTCTAATCCTCTCATCTATATGCCCAAGATACGTTATGAGTTCCTCTAATGTCTCTGGTAGATCCCTGGTTGCTACCTTGACAGGACAAAAGGTGATGTCCCCTCTTGCTACAATACATACACAAACCCTCTGTCTCTCGACTTCAGATAATCTAGTAATACCCACTTGCATAGGTTCAGGAATAGCTAATGCCATAGAATCGGATGGAAAGGAAGGAGCTAGCTGGATAGCCGGCCTTCTGGGTCTCTATCTAGTGTTCGGTCTGTCTCTAATCCTCTCATCTATATGCCCAAGATACGTTATGAGTTCCTCTAATGTCTCTGGTAGATCCCTGGTTGCTACCTTGTCCAACAGGGTATCAGACAAACTGTGTTAAGGAACACAGCCTTAAATGCACGATTGTTCCAACGTATCTCTGCCGCAAGTGAATACAATTCTAGGGCATAATCCATTTGAGACAGTTTCCCTGTTTTAATATCAGGAGTGTTCTAGCAGCAAAATCTCTCCTTAAAGCCACTAGAAACTGAGAATAGTCATACACAAGCGGACTGTCATTCTCACAGAGCAGATTTGCCCACACAAGAGCTCTATCAGAAAGCAAGGTTATGATAAAGCCTATCTTGGCCCTGTCAGTGTGCTACTCTCTGGGACACAGCTCAAACAATATGCTGACCTGGTAAAGAAGGCCTCTACACCTAGAGGGATCCCCGCTAAATGTATAGGTTGGTTAGGATTAGAGTTACTACTGTGGATGGAAGATTCCGCACCAGCAAGTATAGGACTAAAAGGCTGGGTTGGGGGGCCAGCTGATCTCTTAATCAGGGTTTGCAAGGCCTGAGCGAATTGATCCATACAGTGGTCAAGACCATGAAGCCTTGCGTCATAAGCCATAACCTGAGGATTTACCCTTGCAGAGTCCATTGGCCCTGTTGTAATGTAACGTACAACCCAACATGCAGAGTGAAATCCCACAAGTAAATAAATGGAGACAGATAGAAAGTCCTTAAACCAGTCCTTAGAATGGCCGGATAATAGAATAATAGTATTAAATGAGAGTCAGAAAGAACCAAGGTCAAGGGAAGCCAGAAATGCATTAATATGAGTGACAAAAGCAGAGTCAGGGTAGCCAGAAATACTCAAGAATGATAAACAAAGCTGAGTCAAGGGAGCCAGAAAACAGTAGTCGAGAGCAGGTTGAGTCAAAACCAATCAATTCCAAAAGAGACAAAAGAATACGCTACAGGGACGCTAGTAACACTAGAAACCACAACAGGGCACTGTACTTTGGGCAAACTGGGATTTTATATGTTTGGGGGAGTGGTTAGCATAACCACATCCCCAAAAAGTGCATGTGTGCTAGGCTCCTGTGACGTCATGACGCTGGCATGCATGAGCCACATCATAAAAAGGGGTGGGCGCACAGCGGCCGGCGTCCATGAGGCTGTCAGGAGCCTCATACTGGGTGGGAATGGCCATCCGCTGGATCAGAGCAACGGCATCCCGGACCGCCAGGCTTAGTATAAAGGGGCTGACACTTGGGAATTAACTTTTAGAAACATTTAAATAAAATTAGAGATCTACATTTTCTTACACTTCTCCAGCAAACTAACTGTCTTTTACAAAATTGGAGAAATCGCTATATATCTTGGAAAGGGTGCATTAATACCATAAATGCATATATTATCCCTAAATGGTCATATTTTGAAGATGGATGTTACCACTAAAATGTTCTGAATGGTGGCTAAGTTTAGCTCAAAAAAAGCTTCACAAATTTCATGTGCATAGGGGAAAAAGGAACTAGGTTAAATCAGAAAACACTCAACTGGAGGAGTGAACGTTCTCTCAATCAACAATACATATGTAGCTAATATGCTATATCATATAAATAACATCCAAATGAATTCAGCAGGAAAAGAGGGGTGGTATCAACTAGAAAATTAAGCAGGCCAAATATTAGATATGAGTTCCCTCTTGTGGCAACCCAATAATGCTAAAATATTAAAAGATGCTTAAAAAGACTAGCATTATTTTAGACAATACTCTTGATACTTGGATAAAAATTTAAACTAAATGTGGAATCAAATATCAAGTTCCAGAATATCTATACCTTACAACCTTTGAGAATCTTATCCCAGATATAAGGATTGACAAGTGGAGACAGAGGGGTATCTTATATATAAGACAAATACTGGTTATGGGAAAGCTGACGGCATTTCCAGTGATTAAACAAGATTTCCAGCTGCAGGAATGAGAGATTTTTAATTTTATCAGGATCAAAAGTTATTTTTACAAGTAATCCTATTAATGGAAAACTCTGACGCTTTAAATAAACTTTGGGAGATATTCAAATATGATCCTGTAGATAAGGTTGTCTCAAAGGCATTGGAACTAGTACAGATCATAAACAGATCAGAAGCTTTTCCAGTCTTTTCGATCTGGCAAAAGATCTTAACTATAACATTAATATAAATGAGTAGTGTGATGCATGCTCGAAAGTACAAAAGGTAACACTGTGTAAACTGGCAAGAAACATACTTTAACGTAGCCCATAGATGGTATCTGGTCCCTACCAGAATTTTGAAAATGTATAAAAACCGTACAAAAATGTGTATATTATATGCCTTCTGGCAGTCAAGATTGTAATAGCTCGGAATTGGAAGACCAACCAATGCAGTAAGCCTACCAATCGTGCTCAAACAACTAGTCTATCAAATAGAAATGGAAAACGATATAAGTAGATCTCAAGGACACATCCGAAACATACTTGATAAGGGGGCAATGGTTAGAAAATGTTTAAATATATTAATACTCTGCCTTGACACGAAAACATTAAGGAGATAAACTAGGATAATTTGGCTTCCTCTGACTTTCCATCCTCCAGGCTCTTGCTGTATTTTCGTTGTTTTGTCTAAAATATGGTACATATATGAACGAATAGACACCAAAAGTGTTGATTGTTTATACTATTTTATAATCCATGTTGTCTGTATGTTCTATTATTATATTGTCTTTTTCTAAATGCTTAAAAAACTAAATTCCAATAAAAAATAACGGAGGTTGAGTATACTATCACGTGGTGCGAGGCGTCAACATGGAGGCGTGGTGTAGTGGCGCATGCGCATTCTCACGGGGAGAACGCCGGGATGGAAAGCACACACCTGGGGTAAGATATGCACTTATATGTTGTAAAGGGGGGTATATATATAAGTTGGGTTTATCATCTTGTTGTCACTTTGTCCTCAGGAAGGTCCCTCTGTGGACCGAAACGTCGATTTGTTTATTTGATGAATTAAAGAATTTTTTTGAACTGGAAGTCCGTGAGTGCAGCTCAAACTTTGTTCATATATATATATATATATATATATATATATATATATTAAAATAAAATATTGAAACAATTTTTTTTATAAATTATATATTCATTTGCAATTTTATTCTAACTGTATTTTGTTAATATATATATTGGTAACAAAATACACTTAGAATAACATATATATTTTATTACGGTTATTTGTATTTTATATATCTATATATATTCTATATTTATATTTTTTATATATATATATATAATATAATTTTTATAATAGCGTGTCTATGCTTTTCAGGCAGCATCACACCTTCCCATGGATAGGATTTCAAGCTTAAATTTAGAATAAAATAAATAACTCCTATAGTTTAATATGTATGAACTATTTACACTTAGATTTTATATATAGAGCCTAAAAATCCTGGCTCTAGATTTTACAGACTTGGTGCCACTTAATGGGGTGGCAAAGACCCAAAGGATGATCTCTGGAACCGAAGATTAGGCTGGACAGTGAATATTGCTGGATAAAATGTATCTAACGAATAAAATAATAAAAAATAAACACTAAAGCAGCTAGTAACAACTAGTAAAAAATAGTAGATGTAAAAGCAATATTGCACTTAACAATTAAATAGGTCCATTAAACTGGTGCCAAGAAGCATTGCACTCTCTTGCGCTTCCTCAGTAGGCAAGGTAATAGTGTGTGAACAAGTAGACCCTGTCAAGGGATGAGTGCGGGCACATGTTGTGCAATCTACCAATTTCAACCATGGCATAGCACCCAGTGGTATAGGCACACACCAGCTTTGTGGAAATCCAGAAGCTGTCGGGAGAGTCTCTTGTCAAATGTACTATTCTGGTCAAGTGAGCCACGCTATAAAAGTGCTCCATAATTGGAAGTACCATGCCCCCATCCACCTTTTTCAAAGTCAGAATGTCATATTTGACTGAGTCATTTGCCCGCCAGCACAAATCCACCAAACAAATTGATTTAATTGATTTATTTTTCTTTGTTTGCTCCTTTTGAGCTTAATTTGGACTCTGGAAGCAATTCCTTTCATAAAAGTATCAGTGAACATATTTATTTCACAGAGGTGAATTTGGTTAAATTGATATTTTTAGTAAACCCCTAATTCTTTCATTAAATATCAATTACTTATTATGAGGTGAGATTACTAAACTAGAGAAAAATGAGCTACACAATCATTCATGACATTTACTACCACGCACACGCAAACTGAGTTTATCTCAGATAATGCAGCTTATCAATTATCAAGTAAGTGGCTTGTGGGTTCCTTCAACCTAAATGCATGACTTTGCTTTTATCTGTATTGAATTTCATTTGCCACTTGCCTGCCCAGTCCCCCAAGATATCCAAATCCTGTAGATAAATTATATAATCTAATTCTTATTAGTGGGAGGTGAATAAAGTAGTGTAATAGGAATGGAAGACGTGTGGTTAGGGGTTGGGCGGTATAATACATTTTTTCAGACCGTATCCCAGCTTAGGGTGGGTTTTTTTAGGGCCAGATGGGTTGGTGAAAGTTGTGATTCATAGCCATAAATTTTTATATTCTCATCATTCTGACATCAGGACAGTGGCATACTAAGGGGGGATGGCGGGGAGGTCCGCCCCGGGTACCACTTACTAGGGGGGTGCCCGGGGCAAACTTTCGCAGGGGTGGCATTTTGCTGCCCCTGTGTCTTATGAAAAGGGACCGGCCGCCCTATAAGAATATCTACCCGAGTTTCCCATCCAGCAGCAGCAGAGTCCTTTGTTCTCGCGATCCGCGAGAGCGTTGCTATGGCAACCCGCGGCAACACTCTCACAGATCGTGAGAACAGAGGACCCTGCTGCTGTTGGATGGGAAACGAGCATGGAGAGTATTGGGCCCCTCTTCACTGCCCAACTATGCTGTGCCACTGGACCACCAGTTGAGGAGGACGGGAGGGACAGGTAAGTGGCAGCACTTATTCCACACTGCATCTGCATACACACACACTGCATACACACTGTACACACAATACACACACTGCAAACACTATACACACACTATACATATACTGCATACACACTGCACACACTATACACACACTATACATTCACTGCATACACATTGCACACACTATACACTATACATTCACTGCATACACACTGCACACACTATACACACACTGCATACACACTGCACACTATACGCACACTGCATACACACTATACACTATACACACACTGCACACACACACTACACTATACACACACACACTGCATACATTATACACACACTACACACTGCATACACACTTTATACACTATAAACACTGCATACACTGCACACTTCATACGCAATGTACACTGTGCATACACACTGCACTCTTCATACACTATACATACAAGCGGCATACACTATACATACACACTACAAAGACTGCATACACTATACAAGCGCACACACTGCATCCACTACGCAAACACACTGCATCCACTACACAAACACACACTTATACATGTGTATCTGTATGTATGTGTATCTGTTTGTGTGTCTGTGTTTGTTTCGGTGTTCAGTGCCAAATACATTTAAAAAATTTGCAGTTGTTTTTTACATTTCAAAGTTGGGGGGGTGGGTAGGGGCTGCCAAATAAATTATCTGCCCGGGGTGCTAAATGCTCCAGGTACGTCCCTGTATCAGGATCTATGCGGATCTCAACTTGCCTTCTAATCCGCACCATTTTGGCATTAATTGTGACACTGGAGTTTTAAACCTATGCCGTTTCTGGCAACAACTAGCATGTACATTATCGGTGCCTAGGAATGATGCAAGAAGTTATTCTGGTGCAATTTGCTATATAAACTCCTCTAGCCCTGGAGCACATTGCCGTGTTGTGTCCCAAAAGAATGTTTTTTGTTCTGTTTTTTTATTTCACTTATTTTTGACTCACCTGAACTCTGATTTAGACTGATTTTTATTATGTTATTTGTGCTATCTAGCAAACGGCATTTTTGAAGTATCTTTACAGTGACATCAAAAAGTATCTGTTTGAAATTATTAACCTGTATGTCTGTATTATTTATTTGTCAATTTTCAAAGAATTGAGTATTGCACAGATTTTCCCTTAGCAATCTCATATTTTTTGTTCTTACATATGCAAATGCATCCGGCTCTTAAAGCTACAAACAGCAATCCTTTTCACATACATTTTTACATAATGATTATACAAAACAGACATACCGATGCATCGTGGGAAGGTTGACCATCCTGTTTGAAGACATTGAATATTTGTTGTGGTTTTTCCACTTGCAATAACAAATCCGTTGTTGCATTCAAATCGCAGAGTTTCTCCAACCACAAAGATTTTTATATCTGGTTCATACTTTCCAACAGGTAACTGAGTAACATCACAGAATTCTAAAAAAATTAATTGATAATTAGGTGAATAATACATTTCTCAGTCTCTAAAATAAATAATTTAAGACACAGCAAAACTTTAGGCACTTGGGGAAAGTAAGTTGGATTATTTACCAATAGATCAGATTAAAAAAAAAAAAAAAGATGCATTTTTTTTGTTGGGTTAATCAAAGCACAATGACCACTGCAGTGCACATACATGGTTTACCATTGTGCATCATTGGGGCATCATTAGCCAGACTAGAACATGTCAGTTCTGTTTATATTTAGCATCTGTCATCAGCACATACACCATGTTGGTGACAGTCAATGGTGACACGCTTCCCTCCATGATGCTCTTGCAGCCCATGCTGCCCACCTTCCCTGGCATTCGCCCCCTCCACCAAGGATTATGTTGAGGAAGAATAGAGGTGAGGTTTAATTTTTTTTTTTCCTTTATTTCTTTGGGAGGTGAACCAGGATAGGAATGGTTACTCTGACCAAAATAGAATTTTTATTAAAGATATACAAAAGAATATATACATGCTGCTAAAGTTTTACCCCTTTCCTTAAAATAGATTATATATGTGGCAAACATGCCTATGCCACGAGCTCCTGGAAGAGCCTCCTAGCTAGCCTCCTGCCCAAGGTCTGTTGGCCGTATCCAAAGATCTGTTTGGGAGTTAATCCTGCCAATCCGCCATAAGCAACCTTCCCTGGGTGCCACTGGTTCTGCACTTTCTTTTAATTTGAATGGAAACACTAGCTCCCTGGCAGCTGTTCGCATGAAGAAACCCACAAATTATCCTCAGCGGTATTTAGTTGCGATCGTTATGGAGCTAAAATCGGTATGAGGATTTCATGGGTTCCCGGTCACCTCAGTGGGACTTAGCAGCGACTGTTATGGAACTGTTTTCGGTATGACGTGGCTGTGCAGTTCCCAGACAACTTGGTTTTTAACGACTTTGCAATCAGCCAGGAAAGCGCTTTTTGGAAGGAAGGTGCCTGAGACTAAGGGACACAAACACTATGCTGATGGTGTCCCGGCGATAGCTAGGGAGTGAGTTTGGTGAAGGTACCCAGTCGGGGTACCAGGCGGTCCTCCACTATAATATTAATATATATTGGAGAGATGACCACCACAATTTGAAAGCTGGTGAGTGCAAGGACCCTTCATAATACTTTTATATATATATATATATATATATATATATATATATATATATATATATATATATTTGTGGTCAGGGCAATATTGCTGTGATGGTAAGATAACATAATTCATAAACATTAAACATAGTTAAATAACACCAGTCAGTTGTGGTGTGTCAGAACCGACAATGCAGTAGGCCTGTAATAAAGAGGGCCCACCTTAGAGGGTGATGTGAATAGAGGGAGTGGTGGGAGGGGTAACTCACCAGACCAACAACGGTAAAGTGGGAGAGAATTGGCAGCCCTTTTAAAGGTGATTCAGGCCCCTCCCACAACTATAGGCCCAGCATAATATATATATATTTATATATTAAGGCCGTTTGGCCTGTAATTGTGGGAGGGGCTTATTACTTTACTTACCTATTTATGGAACACCCCTTATCTGTCTCCATACCGTTCGAGGTCAGCGTTTGAATGATATCCGCCATTATTTTGACAGTACCTGTGCTACACGAGGTCTTTTACTTTAGCTGTGTTTTCAGAATTCAAGCCGCAAGGTTTTCCGGTCAAACAGTCGCAGATTAAGTCCTAATACTCACCAAACTGTAAGTTGATCCACCAATTGCGCCAGGTACAGTCTCACGGCGTCCTCACGGGTCGGATCCCCACTTTACGGTTTCCATTCATATGTTTCACACGCTGCTGACAATTTACAGTGTCCATTCATTTGCTACCTTCTACATCGTCATCCCATTCATTTCCTTCACTTGTCATTCATACAAACTCCCGAACAGGAACTCCTTACCACAGTAACCACAGTTTCTATTCGTACACTTAGTCGGCGGTTTCAAAATAACCCCAATACTGACCTCTACAGGTCAACCCTCATATTACAGCTAATATGCTAATTTAAAAAAAAAAGTTTTTAGGATTTCTAGCATATTTCAGGAATCTGTGCTATTGGCAAGAAGTACTATTGGTCAATTAATTTGCAGGTTCATCAGTGTGTTCTACTACATTTTTGACTTAGGAGCTTAGAGATCACTGAATTTTGTTTAATACTGGCTGTGTGCACTTTATAGATACAGTTATTTCATAGGAATATAATATTCCCGTTTTGTTGTTGTTGTTGACCTATGCCCTGAGACTTAAAAAAACCAAAAAAAACACAAAATCATTTTAGCCGACAGGCTACTTTTTCATTATGTTATTCATAAATTGTCATCTATGTGTGATCCATGTTGCCACTGTGCTCATTTCCTAGACATACCAGGTCAATACATTTGGGAAAATTTTCATCAATCACATAGCTACTCGTAGCATTCAGTTCAACATAATTTCTCCGTATAGTATGCCTATTCTTTATTTTTTTAATTTTCAAAGTTTTTATTTGAAACAATTTTCAAGGTACAGACATTAGAAATGCTCAATGACATTTTGCACATTTCCATTGGCTTATTTGTAAAGACAATTCGGTTTCCAGTAGCAGGGTGTAAACATACATGGTGAGAAAAAAACAGTTGAATTGTTTATATAAAAGTCATTAATATCTTACGTTTGCTGTATTCGTAGGCCTCTTGTGACAGGTGAGTTGGTCGGTTGTAATGTTATGATTATTGAAGTGTTTAGGGGGGTATATAATTACCCAATATCTTGGGAATCTCTTAGGTACTGAGTCCATGGAGACCATGTATTGGTGAATTTCCCATATGTGTGTGTGTATAGGTATTACAGAGTTCCTCCATTGTTCTGATGGCATCTACTTTGGAAATCCATTCTCTGGTAGTCTGGGGTTTTACCTGTTTCCATTTAGTTTAAATAAGGTTATTTGCATCTGGAAGTAGATGGTTCAGTAAGGTGCGTAGTGGTTTACTCAGGGGGGTTGGATAGAGCATGAGTATTAGCGTTTGCGGTGTCTGTGGGACTTTATATCCCGTGATTACTGTTAAGGTGGTTATTTCCCCCCAGTATTCCTGTATGATACTGCAAGACCACCAGATGTGTCCCGTATTGCCTTCTGTGGATTTGCAGCTCCAGCAGGTGCTGGTGGCATTTGGGAAGAACATATGTATATGGGTCGGAGTGAAATGCCAGCAGGCTATACGTTTGTAGTTGCTCTTTGGTGGTGGTATTCCTAGATGATTTGAATATGTTAGTAAATATCCTCCCCCAGTCATCAGGAGTTAATGTGATATTTAAGTTGTCTTCCCATGATTTTGTAAAGTCTGGGAGGTGGTCTTTTGGTTCTGTTTGCAAGAGTTTGTAGAACGTAGAAAGGTGTCTTCTTTGTATCGACTGAGTAGTGGTCATTGTTTCGAATGCGGTTAGGTGTCTGGATCCCTAAAGGAGGTGTGGCTGTGGGTGAATGAAGTGAGTGAGTTGTGTATATTTTTATCTCAGCATTGCTGATCTTTTGGGCGTGGCTACCATGTCTGGATATGGGATGATTCCTTTATCATTTAGGATGTCTATCAGACATAGTTGTCCTGGCTAGTAATGTACCGAACGGTTCGCCGGCGAACGGTTCCCGGCGAACATAGCATGTTCGCGTTCGCCACGGCGGGTTAACATATGCGCGGTTCGATCCGCCCCCTATTCATCATCATTGAGTAAACTTTGACCCTGTACCTCACAGTCAGCAAACACATTCCAGCCAATTAGCAGCACACCCTCCCTAGCAGACCCTCCCACCTCCTGGAAGGCATCCATTTTACATTCATTCTCAAGCTGCATGCTTAGTGAGAGGAGGGAAAGTGTAGCTGCTATTGATTAGATAGGGAAATGCATAGCTAGGTTAGGGTATGCTTTTTTTTTTTTTTAATGTAATTGCAGTTAGTTGTCTGCCACTGCTGCCAGCTTCTGTGTCAGGCTCACAGTGGATACTGTGCCCATTTCCCCAGTCAGTGCCACCACTTATATCTGGTGTCACAATAGCTTGCATTTAAAACAAAAACTTCTTTTTTCACTGTTATAGATTGAATAGCAGTCAGTGTCCTTAAAGCGGGTGTGTTACGCTAACAGTGGATACGGTGCCCAGTGCCACCACTCACTGGTGTCACAATAGCTTGCATTTAAAAACAAAAAACTTTTTTCACTGTGTGATAAAGTGAAGGCAGATAGGCCTTTTAACCCCAGGGGGAGTATGTGTAGTTTGTGTTTTGCACAACACAACGCATTGTTTAGTTATGGGCCCCTGGGGTGGAGCATTTGGAGAGAAGGGTGGGCCAATGCTCCACTCCACAGTTTAGTGGTTTTCTGGGGAGACATAGATCCAGGCCAGGGTTTTTTGGACTGTCTCCAACCCACTGCACAGCTGCCGTTAATGAGCTGTTGCAGTGGGAATAAACTCCTCCCTGCTAGGCAGGTAAAGGAGAGGGATTGCTGGCTTCCTCCCAGGAAGCAGGTAGGAGAGAGAGGCTGTTCTCTCCAGATAGTCAAGGAGACTAGGCACTTGGAGTGCAGAAAGGAAGCAGTCAGGGCAAGACTGGCTTGGAGCACTGGGAGTGCAGAAAAGAAAGCAGTCAGGGCAAGGCTGGCTTGGAGCACTGGGAGTGCAGAAAGCAAAGCAGTCAGGGCAAGGCTGGCTTGGAGCACTGAGAGTGCAGAAAGGAAAGCAACAGGTTAGATAGCAGAGCGTTGCTCTCTAATAAGGTTGGTGCAATATTGTGTTTAGTTTAACCCTGAGAGATAGGGAACTAAAGTCAGTTAGTGCTCAGACGAGCTAGGTGTTTGTTTATAGGGTTTTCTGTTACTTTTGTTTTTCATTTACTGCTGTATCCTGTGTGGATTTACAAATAAAGTGCCTGAGTATATGCAATTACAAGGACTGTGCATGTTTTTGCCCTAGAGGACCGTGCTACCTGGTGACAAGGATCACAACTGTTATAGATTGAATAGCAGTCAGTGTCCTTAAAGCGGGTGTGTTGCGCTAACAGTGGATACGGTGCCCAGTGCCACCACTCACTTGTGTCACAATAGCTTGCATTTAAAAACAAAAAACTTTTTTCACTGTTATAGATTGAATAGCAGTCAGTGTCCTTAAAGCGGGTGTCAGGCCTACAGCCTGTGCTCTGCACAACTGTGCCAGTGCACATTGCCACTCATATCTGGTCTCACAGTAGCTTGCACGCATAGTACCACTAACCCCCAAAAAAATGACAGGCAGAGGCAGGCCACCCCGCAGGGGCCATCGTGGTCGTGGTGCTGTGATTCCCTTTGGCCCTAGAATAATGCCCAGTTTTCAGAGGCCACGTACCCTGAACTTGAAAAGTTCTGAGGACATAGTTGACTGGCTAACACAGGACACCCAATCTTCTACAGCCTCCGCTCAGAACCTTGACGCATCATCCTCCTCCAGCTTAGCTTCAGGCACCTCTCAAGATACCACTCACCCGCCTGCCGCCACCACCAAAACTAGCACCACAGCCGCTTCAGTTGGTATGTCAGAGGAGTTCAGGGCCGCCACCAGAGATTTTGGGGCCCCTAACTCAGCTCAGGGTCTGGGCCCCGTGGGGCCCGCCTCCAAATACCGCCCACTGGGTCCACCTCCAAATACCGCCCACAGGAATACACACACAGACACAAACACACACACTGATACAAAAAGACAGAGATACATACTAACAGACACACATACTGAAACAGACATACACGCATACAGGCATACATACTGAGACATACACACAGGCATACATAGTGACAGACAGACACATACTAACATACATACAGACACACATGCATGAAGACATAAAGACACATACATACATACACCGACATACATACATACATACACACACACAGACATACTGACAGACATACAGACACTGTCATCCATACACACATACATTCATAATGGCATACAGACATTAACAGACATACATTCATAAGGGCATACAGACATACATACATACATACATACATTCAGACTGACATACATGCATATATACAGACATACTGACAGACATACATGCATACAGACATCCATACACACATACGTTTATAATGATATGCAGGCATACATTCATACTGACATACAGACATACATACAGACAGACATACAGACAGACATACATGCATGCATACAGTCAGACAAACATAGACATACACATACAGACATGCATACAGACAGACATACATACATACACATACATGCATACAGACAGATATACATACAGAGACAGACATACATACACAGACATACATACATACATAGACATACATGCATGCCTACAGACAGACATACACATACATACATACATACATACATACAGGCAGACATACATACAGACATACATACACAGACAGGCAGACATACATACATACATGCATACAGACAGACAAAGACATACATGCATACAGACACACAGACATACATACACAGACATACATACATGCAGACAGGCATACACATACATACATACACATGCAGACATACATGCATGCAGACAGACACATACACATACAGACAGATATACATACACAGACAGACATACATGCATGCCTACAGACATACAGACATACACATACATACAGACATACATACACAGACAGACATACATGCATACAGACAGACATAGACATACATGCAGACAGGCATACACATACATACATACACACACAGACATACATACATAGACATACATGCATGCCTACAGACAGACATACACATACATACATACATACATACATACAGGCAGACATACATACAGACATACATACACAGACAGGCAGACATACATACATACATGCATACAGACAGACAAAGACATACATGCATACAGACACACAGACATACATACACAGACATACATAGACATACATGCATGCAGACAGACACATACACATACAGACAGATATACATACACAGACAGACATACATGCATGCCTACAGACATACAGACATACACATACATACAGACATACATACACAGACAGACATACATGCATACAGACAGACATAGACATACATGCAGACAGGCATACACATACATACATACACACACAGACATACATACATAGACATACATGCATGCAGACAGACATTCATGCATGCCTACATACAGACATACACATACATACACAGACAGAAATACAGACATACATGCATACAGACAGGCATACATATACATACATGCCTACAGACAGATATACACATACAGACAGACAGATATACATACAGAGACATACAGACAGACATACACATACAGACAGACAGATATACATACAGAGACATACAGACAGACATACACATACAGACAGACAGACAGATATACATACAGAGACATACAGACAGACATACACATACAGACAGACATAGACATACACATACAGACAGACATGCATGCAGACACACACACAGCTCATTTTCCAGCCACCCTCCTGTCTCTTACCATTTCTTTGCAGGAGGGTGGCTGGGGATGATGGGAGTCGGCGCGGCTCCCTCTTCACTGCCTGGCTCTCCCTCTTCACCGGCGCGCGCGCTCCTCCCGCGCGGAGTGGGCTGGGAGGAAGTGACCACTTCCTCCCAGCAGCACTTGCGGCTTTTTTTTTTTTTTAAAGGGGCCCGGTCGCGGCCACAGCGCTGACCGGGCCACTGAAGATATAGGGCCCATCGGGTGGCCCTAAGTGTGTGGGCCACCCGATGGGCCCCACATGTGGGGCCCGGGCGGCCGGGCCCCCCAGGGCCGCCGGGCCCGTGACAACCGTTATGGTTGTCACCCCCTGATGGCGGCCCTGGAGGAGTATCACACATCCGTTTGAAGAAATGAGTGATGCGCAACCATTATTGCCAGAGGATGTAGATAACAGGGATATGTCTCAGGCAGGCAGCATTACACACATGGACGTACAGTGTGATGATGATGATGTTGTACCGGCTGTTGCTTCCTTTGCTGAATTGTCAGATACAAGTGAAGCGGTTGATGATGACGATGCGTCCATGGATGTCACGTGGGTGCCCGCTCGGCAAGAAGAAGAACAGGACGAAAGTTCAGATGGGGAGACAGAGAGGAGGAGGAGGAGACGAGTTGGAAGCAGGGGGAGGTCGTCGCAAGGAGCTAGTGGCACAGTCAGACAGCATGCATCGGCACCTGGGGTCAGCCCGACAGCACGCCAATCAACGCATGCTGTGTCCACCACCAGAATGCCGTCATTGCAGAGCTCAGCAGTGTGGAATTTTTTTTGTGTGTCTGCCTCTGACAACAGCGATGCCATTTGCAACCTGTGCCAAAAGAAACTGAGTCGTGGGAAGTCCAACACCCACCTAGGTACAACTGCTTTGCGTAGGCACATGATCTCACATCACAAACGCCTATGGGATCAACACATGAGTACAAGCAGCTCGCCTACTCTAAGCCGCCAGCCTCCTCCTGGTCCAGCATCTTCAGCCACGTCAACCACTGCTGTCCTCCTTGTCCCCTCTCAACCATCCGCCACTCCGCCTCCCGCCTTGAGCAGTTCACGCTCCTCTTCCCACAGTCATGTGTCTGTCAAGGACATGTTTGAGCGTAAGAAGACAATGTCAGAAAGTCACCCCCTTTCCCAGCGTCTGACCGCTGGCTTGTCCGAACTATTAGCCCGCCAGCTTTTACCATACAATCTGGTGGAGTCTGAGGCGTTCAAAAAAATTGTAGCTATTGGCACACCGCAGTAGAAGGTACCCGGACAAAATTTCTTTGCGCAAAAGGCAATCCCCAACCTGTACTCGACTGTGCAAAAGGAAGTAATTGGGGCAAGGGTCCATCTGACCACTGATACCTGGTCTGCAAAGCAGTGTGTACTTTATAAATGGCTCCACCTGCCACCCGTACAGCAACACAGTCTCCAGTTAGGAGGACCGACCAAGCATCTTCTTCCATCTCCCTGTTACAGAAATCACTGCTGTGTACACGTCCACTGATAGGAGACGCGGAAGGTATTAAACTGATCAGAACAATACTAAACACACCACTCCTTTTTTTTGGTGAGGCTTTACAGGACAGAGTGCTTCTCCACGGGACATGTTAACTCACGGGCAGCTGGCTCATCAAGGAACCAGAGAGCTTTCCATGTACAGGTAAGACACGTGCAGCCGGTAAGGGTTCAGGCTCTTCTTCCTGGAGGATACGCTGCAAGCCTGTTGAACGAGGTGACCTTGCTCGGGTCCCAGGTGTACGGTTCCTAAAATGGCTGCCATATACACGTCCACTGATAGGAGACGCGGAAGGTATTAAACTGATCAGAACAATACTAAACACACCACAAATAAGGTTTCTCTCCTGTATGGCTCCTCAAATGATGCTTAAGATTAGAAGCGGCTGAAAAGCATTTCTCACACTCCGAACAAAAATATATTTTTTTAACATTCTCTCCACTTTGAACGAAATGACGTTTGGGAAGAGATTAACATAATTAAACACAGGCAGTAAAAATACAGTTTTTAGCCATACACCTGTAACTTTAAAACTACACATCCCATCTTCATAATTACATATTTGGAATCAGCACACTTAAAACATAAACATAACCAAAAATCAGCCAAATCCATCCAGGGTTAAAAAGTTAGCTGGAGGTCCCTTTATGACCGACCGCAAGCACATTTTCCTGCCCAAAACAGTTCCATAGATTGGGGCTGTGCGGTCGGTCTATTTCAGGCTGAAAAAACGACTAAGTCCCATCGCCGAATGGGACTTAGTCTCTGCAGCTGTAAAACCAGTAGGGGAGAAGGTAGAGCTCAGCGGTGTTCACGGAAATGTGTAGCCGATTTTAGTTCCATGAATTTGGCTACACATACCGCTGACCTCGTTGAATGATCAAAGATGGCCGCCGCCACGTGTTCGGCAAACGAACAAAGACCTCCCAGCATTGTCAATTAAGCTGCGGTTAACCGCAGCTTCTGGGAGGTAAATTGCCCGCACACTTCCACTTCTGGGTGGTCTGCCTGTGTGGTACTTGGTTCAGTAAGCCCCATTTACTGAACCAAGTGGGAAATAGCCAGGCACAAAAAGTTTTAACCAGGTCTGGGGACACAGGGGACATCATCTTAAAGGGGCAGTGTCCCAAACAAGTCTGGGGACACCGTCTTAAAGGGCAGTGTCCCAATCTTCCTGATGTCCCAAAAAGGTGTTTAAAGGGCCAGCACCAGTCCCATAAAGAGTCCATAAGCCACAATATGCCCACTTAAAGGACCATACACACCCAATAAAAGTGCATACATTTTCACCATCTCCCAGGGGCCATAGTCATGCGGGAGGAGGCTGGCAAGTAGGCTTCTCCACAACCCAGGGAAGCAGGGCAATTTGCCATTTAAAGGGCCCGCTACAAATAGCAGTTTGTAACAAGGTGTCAATCCATATCTGCCAAGTGACCCGATGTAGGGGGAACAGTCCCTATTCTGCTCTGAGTCAGTGTGTATCATGGTCTCTGAGGACAGGTGTCAATCCATATCTGCCAAGTGACCCTATGTAGGAGGAACAGTCCCTATTTTGCTCTGTGTCAGTGTGTATCAGGGGCTCTGAGGACAGGTGTCAATCCATATCTGCCAAGTGACCCTATGTAGGAGGAACAGCCCCTATTCTGCTCTGTGTCAGTGTGTATCAGGGATCCCTAGGACAGGTGTCAATCCATATCTGCCAAGTGACCCGATGTAGGGGGAACAGTCTCTATTCTGCTCTGTGTCAGTGTGTATCATGGTCTATGAGGACAGGTGTCAATCCACGCTACTAGACCCCCGCTATAAGCAGACAGTGGCGGAAATGTGACCAAATTACAAGTCGGAAAGGATGCAGCATTTGCAAAATAAATTAAAAAGTATGCTTTACACAGCGTATAAGGGTGATGTCACAGCACAACGGGAATCTAACAGGGGAAGAGGTGAAAGTCATCCTCCTCCTCCCACGACCACGCCATATCTGCCAAGTGACCCTATGTAGGAGGAACAGTCCCTATTCTGCTCTGTGTCAGTGTGTATCATGGTCTCTGAGGACAGGTGTCAATCCATATCTGCCAAGTGACCCTATGTAGGGGGAACAGTCCCTATTCTGCTCGGTGTCAGTGTGTATCAGGGATCATTAGGATAGGTGTTAATCCATATCTGCCAAGTGACCCTATGTAGGGGGAACAGTCCCTATTCTGCTCTGTGTCAGTGTGTATCAGGGATCCTTAGGACAGGTGTCAATTCATATCTGCCAAGTGACCCTATGAAGGGGGAAAAGTCTCTATTCTGCTCTGTATCATGGTCTCTGAGGACAGGTATCAATCCATATCTGCCAAGTGACCCTATGTAGGAGGAACAGTCTCTATTCTGCTCTGTGTCAGTGTGTATCAGGGGCTCTGAGCACAGGTGTCAATCCATATCTGCCAAGTGACCCTATGTAGGGGGAACAGTCTCTATTCTGCTCTGTGTCAGTGTGTATCAGGGGCTCTGAGGACAGGTGTCAATCCATATGTCAAGGTGTCAATATGTCATATGTCAGGTGTCAATCCATATTCAGTGTGACTTAGGAATGTTAGGTGATTTCTGCCCTTTATGGATTTAGAGCAGACTCTGCATCAACTTTGTAATTTTCCATGGGAGTTTTGCCATGGATCCCCCTCCGGCATGCCACAGTCCAGGTGTTAGTCCCCTTGAAACAACTTTTCCATCCCTATTGTGGCCAGAAAGAGTCCCTGTGTGTTTTAAAATTCGCTTGCCCATTGAAGTCTATGGCGGTTCGCGCGGTTCGCCGGTTCGCGAACATTTGCGGAGGGGATCGTTTACCTTCAAAGTGTCTTTGTGCAAATCTTGGTAAAAGAAATACCTCAGATAATGTCACCTACCCATCTTCCAATACCTATCAAAATGATCACATATTTAAAACACACCAAAATTACGTACCAAAAAGAAACTTACAATATTTACCTCACCCGTCTATGAAGAAACAACCCTTTACTTCATCACGTAACTATTACTCCAACCGGTTACACACTACTAATAAATACCAACACTATCAAACTCAACCTAGGCACTCACACCCATCTCACCAATATCGCAGCTCACAGTTACCTATACAGAATCACATTAATCACACCAGTAACACTAATCACTCCCCAGGTATGTACCAAAATGAGAAAAGTATCACACCCAAAACTCAAAGACCAAGATTTGCACAAAGACACTTTGAAGGTAAACGATCCCCTCCGAACTATGTTCATAACAACAGATTCCAATTATTGTCTGTAGATTCCGAAACAGATAATGATGATTATTTTTTAGAGCTTTGCACACAAAACAATGCACACGCACTAACGCCATATCCTATAAAAACCAAAAAACGAAGTCTGAATTTAGAAGAAGGAGAAGTGGCAGAAGATTCCAAAAGAGAAAGGCTAGAAAGACAATAAATCAAACTAATGATAAAGATCTTGGTATTTTTAACCTATCTCAAAAGGTTTTAACTTCTACGCAAATATCAGTTTTAACAAAAGGCCTAAAATTTGCTCCTACGAATCCCTTCAAACCTTTTAAGGCTTTTATAGACATTAATACATTTGTCAGAAAAGCCACTCTTAAAAGATGTTTTGCGTGTAAGCATGTAGAAGCCCCTATCTCACAACTGCAGACTACCTCATCATCAGGATCACCTAAAATTATCTACCTCATTAAAGAAAAATTCGACTTTTTTTCCTTCTAGTTTTAAATCAGGCCCCTTAGAAGTTTTCGAAAAACTAGTTACTAAAGATTTAGAAAAAATCCATAAAAATAAATTTGATCAAGATAATCTTACATACTTAGAGCGAAAAGCATTACAACAATTACAAAAGGACGATAGTATTATCATAAAACCCGCAGATAAGGGGGGTGGTATAGTTATTTTAACCAAAGAAATGTATATAAACGAAGCTATGCGACAATTAAATGATTCTACAGTTTATGAAAAGTTAGTACAAGACCCCACAGCTAAAATCCAACAAATTTTTTTTTTTTTTTAAATATGATTTTTATTAATGTATTTGCAACGTATTTTCAACAAAAATAGGCAAGGGGTGGGGGTATGGGACTCGCAGGTCCCTGGAAACAACAACATAAAGTATTTGCTTTTGGGCTCGCAGGCCCCAATGAACGATGCGGACTCGCAGGTCCCATGCATTCCAAACAGCTAATAATGAGTACCTTTGTCCCATGTGTTGCGCTCTTTTTTCTTTTTTTTTTATTTAAAATCCAACAAATTTTAACCTCCTTTTTAACCAATGGTTGCGAACTAAATATTTTAAGTAAACACGAATTTGAATATCTTAATGTATCCCATCCCATCATCCCTGTCATATATTTTTTACCGAAAATTCATAAAGATATTAATAATCCTCCAGGTAGGCCTATTGTATCAGGGATTAATTCTATTTTATCAAATTTATCTGAGTATCTAGACATTCTTTTACAACCTTCAGTGAAACGTATGAAGTCGTATCTAAAAGATTCAATGTCTTTAAAAAACAGAGTAAACACTTTTAAATGTTAAAATACATACGTTCTAGTGACCTGTGATGTACAATCTTTATATACCATTATTTGTCACAAAAAAGGCTGTTTAGCAGTTGAAAAATTTTTAAAAGTCGAAAAAAATATCCCTGACCTACAAATAGATTTTATTATCCAGGGTATTAATATTATTTTAAACAATAATTATTTTTGGTTTTTAGATTCTTTTTATTTACAAAAACAGGGTACTGCTATGGGGACCAGGTTTGCCCCCAGCTATGCCAACCTTTTTATGGCAGATTGGGAATCCACTGCCATTTTGGGAGGGCATGGCTGGCGGACAAGCCTGGTCACATATTTCAGATACATTGATGACCTGTTTTTTATTTGGGATGGCCCAGAAGACTCTCTTAATCAGTTTTTACAACATCTCAATAATAATGACAAAGGTATTATTTTAACATGGGATTATAGTAAATCCTCTATTAATTTTTTAGATTTAGAGATTTTTATTAAAAATGATCAAATCCATACTAAGACTTTTTTTAAGAAGGTATGTACTAATAATGTAATTGATGTGTCCACTTGTCACCATAAAACATGGCTCCAAGGGATACCAAAAAGCCAGTTTCTTCGTTTACGTAGAAACTGTTCCCTTTTACAAGATTTTGAAGAACAGTCTAAATTATTGTCCAATAAATTTTCTCAAAAGAATTATCCTAGAAGCAATTTAGACCAGACATTAAAAAATATTAGTGGAACCAATAGATCTGAACTTTTAGAATATAAAGCAAATAAAGAAATAAACACCGCCCCAGTATTGCCAATTATTTTCGACTTCAATAACAAAAGCAATGTTATGAAGAAGATTATAAAGAAACATTGGCATATATTAAAAGAAGATGAGACTTTGGCTGGAATTATCCCCGAGAAACCACAAGTTATATTTAGGGGGGCACCCAGCTTTAAGTCCATCCTTACAAGTAACTATACCAAACATAAGCACAGCACCTTACCCCCTAGTCCCTCTACCTTTTTGAATAAACCAAGCGTTTTTTTTAAATGCAATAGATGCATTGTTTGTAAACGTACGAGTAATATCATTAAATCCAAAACTACCTCATTCACATCTACAATTACACAGAAAATATATCAAATAAAACATTTTATCCATTGTAATACTAAAAACGTAATTTACCTTCTGGAATGTCCATGTGGACTACAATATGTGGGTATGACCACCAGAGATTTAAAAACAAGACTAGCTGAACACTGTAGGAATATTTTAAAAGGCTATGAGAATCATTCTGTTTCAAAACACTTTTTACAACATGGAAAGAATCCAAAATATCTTAAGTGTTTGGGCATAGATATATGTAATGTCCCATGGAAAGGCGGTGATATTAAAAAAGTTCTTGGCAAAAAAGAAATGGAATGGGCATATAATTTAAAAACTCTTGCCCCAATTGGTCTGAATATTGATTTTGATCTTTTTAATTTTTTATAATCCATATATATTTTCAACTTTTATTCCCTTCTTATTTTAATTTTATTTTTAATTTTTTATATTCAGTGCCTGTATATCTTTTTAAAAATGTTATACTATATTTATTTATTATCTATATATTATCATTTTATTATGTTATGGATACACTATTTTTTGAAAGACTGTATTTCCACAGCATTATATGGATATTTCATAATGATAATGTTTTTTTAGCTGTCTGTATTTTGTAAGTCTGTACTTCTATGCCATTATATATATATTGTTTTCTGCCAATGCTGCTTATAATAAGTTTTGAACCCACAGTTTATTGCACACTCGCTGCTTGCCTGCTTGTGCAGACAAGCAGTGAGTTCTAAGTGCTGCCGTTGTGACTGTCTGCCTGCTGTTGCGAGCAGATAGTCTTTTCTCTGCTCGGCAGGCTTTTCTGACTATTTGGGAGAATCTACCTCCCCTTACATGATGCACGCGTTCCATACTAACGGAACGCATGCGTTCCATCTAACATCACGTGACGCGGAAGTGTTTCTAATCGCGCGTCACGTGATCGTTTTCAATTAGGTTTTTTTAGTATTTATAACTTTCGTTTTTTTATATAAAGTACTGTATCTATCTCATATTCATTCTGTGAATATAACCATATGGCAAATTACTGTTTTTGTTTATATCAAATTCAGACGTTTGTGATGACGTCATTTTGGCGGGAATTTTAAATCTCCAGTTCTATTGTACCTTATATAAACCTCTGTATGTCAGGTGTGCCCTCCCTTTTTTACTTTTATCTACTTGAAGAAGCCCTTGGGGCGAAACGCGTCTAGATATCATTTTAATACGTTTATAATAAAGAATTTTTGACATAAAACACTTTATTGCCATTTTTTCTTCTTTTTTCCTTTCACCTGACTACCTATATTGTCTAATTTTAGAAGAAATATAAAGAATCCATACGTGGGGATTATACCACCTAAGCGCCTATAGTGAGCAGTATACATCTGCTCAAAAGAATGTGAGTAATATACATTTTATACTTCTTAACCTTTTATCACAATACAGAGAGCACTATATATTTTATTCTTTCCTTCTGGGTCTGGAATTTGGAAGCCGTACGTGTACTAGAGAATCGCCAATTGTCATCTACTCCACATATCCTCGAGAGGGGATCATTCCACTTTACGTGCATTACATCAGAGCTGGATCCTCAGCTCTGAAAAGTGTGAGTAAGACTTATTTTATTATTTTATTCTCAACATACCTACCTACTGTACCATTGGAGTCCTGTACTTTTTTCTCTCCACATATGCTCCATTGAATGAAGATCTGACCTCACCCTACATTCTAAGAATTTTCCTTTGTCTCACGTGGGATCTTCCATCACGAACTTTGATAAGTTTTGGACTATTGCCAACCATTTTTATATTTTATATATTTTGTTTTATTATTTATTGTATTTTATAATTTTGAGTATATATTTTAGGCGCATCCTTACTGTACTGTTTGTCTTGTCTTTTTCAACTATTAGGGATTTATAGGGGATTCCCTTTTAAGGAGTGCAGCCTTTTTTTACTGTGGCCATTTAGCGCTGATTTTTTTTCTGTTTTTTCTAATACCTTGGGTTGTCTACTTTTTCAAATGGTATGCCATTATGGGAGTAATTCTCATTCCTGGGCTACCACACCATCTCAAAGGTAACATTACTAATCTGGCAAATTTCAATTTGAAAATGGAACGTTCTATATTTGACCCTGTAACTTTCCAAAACACCATAAAACCTGTTAATGGGGGATACTATTGTACTCGTGAGACATCGCTGATTAACGATTAGAGTATGGATCAGTGCTCTGTGTCAGGACTGTGGTCTGCACTCAAGGGGTATGCCCCCTAGTGTATTTTCAGTGCACTCTCCTACTGAATGGAGACATGCTGTTACAGCCTCTGTTTACTGCTGGACAGGATTTCCAGGACATGCTGCTTAAAGGGACAAACTGTTTTCCTGGCACTGCAGGTCCCCTCTCCCTACCGCCCCCATCCCATGTTGCTGAAGGGGTTAAAACCCCTTCAGTGACTTACCTGTATCCAGCGCCGATGTCCCTCGGCGTTGGTTCAGGGTCCGCCCATGCTCCTCCCCCGCTGACGTTATCTGGCGTGGGAGACCTATTGAGCATGTGCGGCCGCCAGCGGTGGAGACCTCATGCATTAGACCTCCACATAGGAAAGCATTAAAAAATGCTTTCCTATGGGGATTTCAGCAACGCTGGAGATCCTCACATAGCGTGAGTACGTCCAGCGACGTTATAGCACACTTTTCATGTGCTATAAACACAGACAGCCACTAGAGGAGGAATTAACCCTGCAAGGTAAATATTGCAGTTTATGAAAACTGTTATAGTTACACTTGCAGGGTTAAGGGTAGTGGGAGTTGGCACCCAGACCACTCCAGTGGGCAGAAGTGGTCTGGTGCCTGGAGTGTCCCTTTAAGGACCATCTCACATAATCTTGAATTAACTGTTTGAGCACAGATTAATACCCTGTGGGTGAGGCCCCTACTATATATTTCACTACACTTTGCTACTGTATGGAGACTGGCTGCTGCAGCCTCTGTTAATTGCTGGACAAGATTTCCAGGAAATGCTGCTTAAGGAATATCTCCCATAACCTTAAATTAACTGTTTGAGCACAGATAAGTGCTATGTCAGAGCTGTGGCCCCGACGTACTAGGTCTCTCGTCGCACTTTAGGATTCTTACTTAGTTTTCTATTCTTTTCTCAGCGTTAAAAATGCAAAATACGAAGCCTCCTGTCATGTTGTAAAATTGAAGATTATGCTAGCCTTAGTGTACTAATAATCTTAATTTTAATAATGACAGGAGGCGAGTATTTCCCTCCCTGCTTTGCTAACCCACCCTTTCTGATAGGTTTGCCTCTCATGTTTTGTACTTACATTGATGATTGTATTTCCAATAATCTGGAATTCTCATTGGACTTTTACATAATAGTTATTCAAATTTTAATTGTAATTTACAATTTTCTTCTATGGGATGATGTTTGGATTAACATGTTCATGACTATGGGCCTAAACCGGTCACACATTCTCTTTTCAGTTTATTTAGTCTCTGAAGATATTCGATTGTTCGCGTGAAACTCTCTGGAATTTTAATCCTTTGGATTTCATTTGCCCCTGAACACTTTTTCGTTGCTTGTGTGGAATTCACGGGGAAGTTTGCTCCTTCGGATGTTGGACTTAGGAGTTATTGTTATTGCTGGTTATATGTTTACTTCCGCTTGATGTCGCTTTCTGGAAGAGGAAGTGATGAGGTCACTATGCCTTATGTACATCCTACTTTCTTGTGATTGATTCTTTCTTCTATGTGATTCTTTGCTGCTGTGTGGAGCTAGTAAAGAGATTATCCAAAATACTCACCTCCTGTCATTGTTAAAATTAAGATTATTAGTACACTGAAGTTAGCATAATTTTCAATTGTGTTCTTTTCTTCTTTTCAGTCCTGCAGTGAGTTTTTATGTTTTTGTTTATAAAAGTTTTATAGGGTTCTCCTATACAATGTATATTGAGGAAGCCCCACAACTGACTAATTAGGGAACTAATAGGTAGAGATTTTAATTCTGAGAAAATATTGGCATTTTATGGCACATTTATGAATTTAGTAAGTCTCCCTCCAGTTCATGATATTTAGTAAAGAATGCCTGGAGTTAGATAAAAAAATGCAATTATGTTTTATTTCTGTATTTTTTTCAAAACATATTACAATATATAACTTAAATGATCTTAAATCTACATAGGTGCCATGTGTGAAATGTAATATTTCAAATTAATTAAATTAATAAAGTGCATACTTGTGAAATATACATAGAGTTTATAAATATAAATAATTGCAGAGGGAAAATTGTACATGAAAAGCTCTGATTAACAATCGAGAAGAAAAAAAATATATATATTCCTTACTTGTACATTTGGGTTTAGGATTCCATCCATTTTCAGTACAATAGGATCTGCCATAGTATCTTTTGTCCTGTGGCAGAAATCCATCACTACACCGATAATTGATATATGTTCCTAATTGCTTTGGAAAATAATAGTAGTAATATAACTGTCCATCTGCAATCTCTGGACGGTTACATCTTTGACCTACAGAAATAAATGAATAATTATGGTTGCTTAATAGAAATAAACTGGCATTAACTTATTTACAAGTGAGCTGCCAGCAAAAAACTAAACAAAAAAAGAACAAGCAAACAAAAACAAATGGTAAGTCAAGATGTCCACTTAGATTAAATACATTTTGTATAAATGCCTTGCATAATCAGAGATAGAGATATATAGCAATATGGCTGAACAGAGAAATCTTAGCATAATACAATCATAACATCCATAAGTATGCACCAGTCGGTTGTGGTGTGCCGGAACCAACAAAGCAGTAGGCCTGTAATAAAAGTGGGCAAAAAGAAGATAACCAGAAAACATAATTCGTGAACCAACTTTGTTTATTGAGATAAGTCACAAAAAGCTTGTCTTAATTCTTTAACAGGATTGGGTATGTAGAGTGTGTAGGCGGAGGATTTCCAGCGTCCCATAGCCTTAATAATATGAGCGGGTATGTGGTTAGTGGATGCGGAAGATGCTGCTCCTATACGGAAAGAGTGACCTGAAAATTGATTGGGGTTTAGGCCAAGCCTGGTCAACAGAAGTCGTATGTATAGCATGAGTGGAGGAGTGTGGTGCCGATAAATCAATTATCAGTCTGGGTTTGAGTGAGGTCTTCCCTGTGACCACCCCTATAGGATTGGTACTCCAAGAAGTGAAGGGTGGGGAAAAGAATGGTCTCAACAGAAACCCTTGTTCCAACTCAGTTGAGATAAGAGTTTTTACCAACTGTGGATCGTCTAATGTGGATTGTAGTGTACCGGAGGGTAAATGGACCAACCCAATGTGAAATCCCTCAGTCATGCCCAAAATAATATAGTCAGTGAAATGACGTGTAGGATGTAGCTGTAAAAGTGAGGTCAATAATGTGACGTTCACACACTTGTGATATGGTTTGGGGAATGCTTTATTTGGACACAGTTTTGGCATGGGCCTTAAAAGAGTGTTAACATACATGCATCAGCCTACAAGAACTGAAACCACAATTGCCCGCATTAAAGTTATGGCATACCTGGGATTTACCCAGGAATACAATGTCTCTCCCCAGTTTGTCTTTCAATCCCCTGGCAGCTTTAGGAAAGTTAGGGGTAGATTGGTTCTGTTCGATCTCAGCTGTGTTTGGGCAGAGATTTGTGTGATGTGCTGTAGATGCGCATACTGCACAAGCTGGAGGCCTGAGGCCTGCAAAATGCCTGCAGAATAACTCAGTGTCCAATTTGCTCCAATTAATGCTTAAATTGAACTGAGCCAGAGCTGCATCCACCTTTGCAGAAAAGGAACTGTGGTAATCATAAAAAGCGGTACCACCGTATTTGTGCCCCAGGTCCACCATATTGTGCATGTATGCATCCAGCTCTGCACTTTTCCCTGGGTATACTGAGCAGTAAACATCCCTATAAATCCCACAACCCAGTACAAATTCAGGGATTGACAGTTTTTTGTTCAGCCTTGGGTCTCTTGCCCTTAGTACAACTGATATATCCCCATATGCAAAAGTCCTATTCTCTAGGACATCCTGGGAGGCTATAAGCAATGGCACCAAGTTGACATCCTTGCCTTCCAGAATGTTCTTTTTCAGGTGAGATGGGACTATGTGTGAAGGATTAATAGCTTCACTAAGCAACACTGATACCAATGAATTACCAGTTATGTCAGCCAGAGGATGACTGGCAACAATTGGGTTCATAGCGGTCTGTTTAGTACCACTTGCTTCCAATTTATCCAGCCTATCGTTAATTATGCTGATGGATGACATGAGAGAAGTCATCATGGCATAAAACGTTGGCAATTGTGTGCCACTAGGGCCTTCCCCTGCATCAGAGTGGTCAGTGGTCGTATTTAAAAGTCTGAACAACTCGGCCTTCCTAGCAGTAGCTGAGAAAGGGATGCAGCATCTTCTAAGTTCTGCAGTGACACGTGGGATGGTCCATGATCTGAGAGATGAGGGACTGGCAATGTCTGTTCCAGGAACAGGGGTACCAGGCCTAGCAGGTGTGCGAGAGTTCCTCAGGGATATCAGGATTATTTGACATAAGAACATGGTAGAGAGAAAAAAAAAAATGGGTTCTGGCGTAGTACCTGATATGTGAGTCAGGTTGCGCTGTCGAGGTAGAAGTAACCAGTGACTGTAAAAGTCTCGAGATGATTACCTGTGGACATGAGATTTGATATATGAATGTCTGACTGAAACGTAGTGGAAGGGCCAGATCGTGGGCCCTAAACACAAGAACCTACTTGTCACTGCAGAGGGTAGATTTAACGACCATGATGATGGTTTTTGTGCTTGTAAAAGCTACCGTTCAATGGAAAATAACATAAAAGAGTAAAATACATGCTTAACGAATTTAATGTGTATCATTGGGATTAAAAGCATAATTAAATATCAACCAACCTATAAGAAATAATTGATACCAGTGTCAGAATTCACAATTCCCAGTACGAACCACTGGTATGACTCTGTGGAATAAATAAATAAATAAAATAAAATAAAATAAATCAGGACCCATCATCCCGGTTTAAAACATTCCTATTTAATTAATAGATTTTATAAAAGTGACTGCAATAACGTTTGTAACCAGTAGGGGCAAAATCCCCATGGAGTACCGGCTGAATTTGTGCTTATACGAGTTAGTGTAGTTGCCGAAAGAGTAATGTAGAGTGTAGCAACAAGCGAATAGATACACCATAAATGACATTCGAAAACCAAACCGATTGATGTTATGCGTATCTAACCGAATTATATCATTCGTTAGTTTTAGAACAGGTGAACGTGAGATTAGCTGAGGGAATTTTAATGCGAATGCCATAATGATTAAAAGAAACGAACCGAATGCCAGTTTGAACCGAAAGGGGCTCCGCCGTGTAAAGCAAGGGAATTGCAGTGGTTGCTTTAAGGCGGGCCTGACTTACGGTTTTCGTGAAGGAGAAGTAATGAGCGGGCTGTGCGGACGCCGGCAACGGGAAGGAGAGTCAGGGAAGCACCGGACCAGGAGACCACGAGGGAACAGGTAAGGAAAATTCCAAGATGGCGGTCTGAACCGGAAGTAAACGTTTCAGACTCATCAGTCCAGCAACGGTAAGGTGGGAGTGGATTGGCAGCCCTTTTAAAGGTGAACCAAGCCCCTCCCACAACTCCAGGATACATACATACATACATACATACATACATACACACACACACACAAAACCAGGAGGGCTGCACTCACCTGAACATGCATACATTATAGGGTGCTGGTGGGGCCAAAATATACAAAATACAGAATCCAGCGCACTCGCTTATTCACTAAACAATGATTTTCAAATCTTAGAGATTGTAATAGTTTTATTTAAAAACACCTCACCTAGGTAAAAAATAATGGGGGTTTATTTAGCCTTGACTTGCAGAGAGTCCCAGGAAGGAAGTATTTCCCAAGTACCGTATATACTCGAGTATAAATCGACCCGAATATAAGTAGAGACCCCTAATTTTTCCCCCCTAAAAAAACTGGGAAAACTTATTGACTTGAGTATAAGACTAGGGTGGAAAATGCAGCAGCTAATGGTAAAATTCTAAATAAAATTAGTTCCCCAAAAAATTATATTAATTGAATATTTATTTACAGTGTGTGTATATAATGCAGTGTGTGTGTGTATGATGCAGAGCCTTGGTGGGGTGGTTGGAAATTTGTATTATTATTTAAATTTTTATTTATTTATTTTCGTCCCCCCTCCCTGCTTGTTAGCTGGCCAGGGAGGGGGGCTCTCATTCCCTGTTGGTCCAGTGGATGGGCTGTGTAGGAGGGCGGCTGGCAGAGAGCTGTAACTAACCCTTCCTGCAGCTCCCTTCTCCTGTGTTCCGGTCAGCTCCACTGTAAGTCTCACGGTGTGACTGCCGCGTGGAGCGTTGCCACGGTAACCTGTGGCAACGCTCTGACCCCACGGCTCTTGTGAGATTTACAGTGGGAGCTGACCAGAACGCAGGAGAAGGGAGCTGACAGGAGCTGCAGGAAAGGTAAGTTACAGCTCTCTGCCAGCCCCCAACAGGACCGCTGGGCTTGTAATGAGCCCGGCGGTCCTTGTCTGTATTATGGCAATGTAAGTTGCCATAATACAGACATTGAATTGAGTACAAGCTGAGTGGGGCTTTTTCAGCACAAAAAAATGTGCAGAAAAACTCGGCTTGTACTTGAGTATATACGGTAAGTGGATTAATCTCACAAGAGCAAGCATTAGGCTGCTAGGATAGGACCTGCCAAAGATGGGGTACACTGACTGTGTGGCAGGCTTATGCAATATATGATCATATAATGTAACTAAACCCCCACTATTTTTTGCCTAGGTGAGGTGTGATATAGATATAGATATGTCCTAATGTGAATGCAGAACTTGCTGCACATGTGCTTTAGGTCTAATTGATATTTTACTACTTTACATGCATTGTAATAAAAAAAGCAGTTTGTTCAAGTTATCCCACACAGGCCAACCATTGACAGTAGACACTCCAGTGTATCTTATTTGGCGTATTTTGTGCTTTAACATGTTGCTATTTTCTTTTTTATAATTCTTTATTTTTGTGTGCAAAAGTTACAGGCAGGTGTTCATCGCCACAACAGTGTTAACAATCATCACATTGGTATATAGTTTAAGACAGTAATATGGCAATTGTAGGTACTGCACATTTTAAAGTTATGTGAACAGGTGTTGTTGGTAATAGTTAAATTAGAGTGTGTAAACCAACATGTCTGTAGCTAAAGTTGTATTATGACAGGAGTGGTATGTGAGAGCCTGCGTGTATCTGTAGCTTGATGCTTGCGTTGCACGTTTTCTTTTGTAACCAAGCAGGTTTAGTATGATCCACTGTGGTGAAGTTGAAAAGCTTAAAAGAACTGTGCATGAAAGATAGTCAATGTGCAGCTAGCTTATAGCTTAATAGAGGGCTCTTGTCGGTAGATGGAGTCAGTCCCATAAGGCCCCTTGTGATAAGTATGTGAGTCCGATTAGCGACTAGGGAGCATGAGAGGCAGGGTTTTACAGCAAGGTGGTGAGTCTGATGCTTCACATTTGGACTATCATGGTGTCCCTAGAAAAATTAAGTGTCAGGCTAGAATGTTAGGTTGGTAACATTGGAAGAGAGTAAGATTAACACGGTACATCAAGTAGACATGCGGAGAGGTAGGATGATTTCAGGCTAGGTGGTTTTTGTTACCAGAACCGCGGTATGTATTTGCTCATATGGATGTGTCTCACTATTCTCAGGGAACGTGTAAGGTGTGTAACGCTGTGGATGTGCTTTGCATATTAAAATAAAGATTGCCGAGCTCCATTTTAATAAGTATACCGCGTTTTTAGTGGTAATGCCTGACTTAAGTGTGGTGTGAGTGAGACCTATAATATAAACAGAGGATATAACAAAAAGTAAAACTGAAACTGATAGTAAAAACCATAGAAAAAAAAATAAATAAGTTACCTGCACTTGTGACGAAGTGCCCTTCGCCACTTGTGCCTGAAGAGGGCTAATTGTCAGCCTTCTGCCCTGCGACTATGGCCCCTGGAAGATTTTTCCCTTTAAAAACGTTATTTGGGCATATTGGATTTTAAGGTACTCTGTCTGCCCCTTTAAATATATTGGAGCAGTCTGCAGCTTTAAAATGTGAAGAAAACCCCTGTTTTATTCCCCCCACCCCCTTCCCCTCCTAGAACACCAGTTAAACCCTTAATACCTTGTTACATTCAAACTCTGTCTGACCTTATAACTGTCATATATTCAAACTCTGTCTGACCTTATAACTGTCATATATTCAAACACTGACTGAACTTAAAGGACCACTATAGTGCTAGGCTCTGGAAGGGGGAAAGGGGTTAAAACTTACCTTTTTCCAGCGCTGGGCAGGGAGCTCTCCGCCTCCTCTCCTCCTCTTCTCCTCCCATGTGGCTGAATGCGCACGCGCAGCAATAGCTGCACGCGCATTCAGTCGGTCACATAGGAAAGCATTCATAATGCTTTCCTATGGACGCTGGCGTGCTCTCACTGTGAAAATCACAGTGAGAAGCACGCAAGCGCCTCTAGCGGCCGTCAATGAGACAGCCGCTAGAGGAAATAGGGGAAGGCTTAACCCATTCATAAACATAGCAGTTTCTCTGAAACTGCTATGTTTATGAAAAAATGGGTTAACCCTAGCTGGACCTGGCACCCAGACCACTTCATTAAGCTGAAGTGGTCTGGGTGCCTAGAGTGGTCCTTTAACTGTCATTTTGTTTTCCTCTGAGGAGTTGGTTTGCTGCCTGAGTGCTGTTGCTTTTTTGTGCTCCTTAAACAGACCTGCTTGACCCTTTCTTGAAGCCTTGGCTCATGCTTGGGGGATGGGATAGGTCTGCAGTGCTGATGGTGTCGGTTGGAGTCATCGGAAAGCACGGAGAGCATCAATTGGTGGAGGTACTTAGTCGGAGTGCAAGCGGGTCTGTCATAGCGCTCTTTCCACATCTCTTTAAACAAATGGAGGTTTTTAGTTACCTCCAATTGCCATGAGAGTGTATGCCCACCTGCCACGTCAAGGGAGACCTCTTAGGTGGGTCCTAACTCGAACCATTCACCTTGCTTCCTTGAGCATCCTACTGGCAAAGATATCACTAATGAGACAGAAAGGGGTATTTTTTATATACACCCACAAAATGCTTATTATCCCTTAATAGGGAACACATGGGATGGGCAGCAGCATTGTAACCTAGCTGTGTGATACAAAAGTGAATACACATACAAAGAAACAAGTCCTGCGCTCAAACTCCCATTACTCCTGGGCGGCAGCAACAACCATAGTACACATCAGCCAAAATACATATAGTAAAAACCAAAGAGGAGAAAAAAAAAAAAAAAAAGTTACCTGCGCTCTTTCCACATCCCTATGTATTTTTAAACAAATTGAGGTTTTTAGATACCTCCAATGGCCATGAGAGGGTATGCCCACCTGCCACGTCAAGGCAGACCTCTTAGGTGGGTCCTAACTCTAACCATTCGCCGTGCTTCCTTGAGCTTCTGGCAAAGATATCACTAATGAGACAGAAAGGGGTATTTTTATATACATCCCTACATACTTCTATGCCGCCCCCCCGGCATTTAGAGCCTGGTCCCCAAGGACGGTATAGAACGCCCACCGTCCTTAAGTGGTTAAAGACTTTAGAGTCCCCTCCTATTTAGGGACAGATCTGAAAACACGTGTATCACAGTAGAAATTAGCATTTTCTAACTATATCAACTGGGTTTAAACTTCAAATGTCAGTTATGTAAACCTACAGTACAGGGAGTAGTCACTCAGATCCAAGTATTACCTCTTGGTGTAATCACAGAGACCTATATGAAGTTATAACCTGTACTTCTAAAGATCTTTAAATATTTTTGTCTTTAGAGCGTTAGAAGGTGAGCACATTTCCATAGAAAACAGCAAAAATCAGACAGATATAGGAATAAAGAATGTAATGACAGTACGGCTAGGTATGAAAAGTGCTGCCGCTGTGTATCCCCAGCATAGAACTCAGAGCTCCATCAGCTGTTCCATGGCCATTTGAAACGGGTAGCCTTCTGGAAGACTGACATTTCATTATATTTCTACTTACCCTGTTAATTTTGTTGACTGTGTATGTTTTTATATTTAGTGACTATTATTTAGTTTTATTATTTTCAATGTATACATTTTCATGTCTTTGTAACTATAGCCTGTGCTAATCATGCAAAGTATTTTATCACCTTTGTCTTTGTCCATCATGTTAAAAGTTAGTTTAACCAGCTCAGGCCCATATATCTTTCCTGTTCCTTGTTTAATGGTTTTATTTCCCTACTTAAATACCTCTGTCTTATCTCTGTAATTCTCAATCTTAGCTTTTGTTTTTTCTTAAATCAAATGTCCATCTATACACCCCCCTTCAATTTCTTAGCCCATCTGACCCTAATATACATCTCTCTTCCACAGTCTGATTTTTAAACATACTCAGAGCTCCATCAGCTGTTCCATGGCCATTTGAAACAGGTAGCCTTTTGGAAGACTGATTCCCTCCCCATCTCTTGGTCATTTCCTCATTTATAGATAGTCTCCCACACAACTTTCAGTCTACTGAAATGTCAAGTGCAAACACTGATCAGCACACCCTTTCAATCTCTTAACCCTATAGAACACATACCCTCTCTGACTACAAATAGATATATATCACACACACCAAAACTATATACCTCTATTTAATTTATGTTTTTCACAATTTCTGTTTCATTTTCAACCACCCAAATATAACCATACTGTTATTCTTAATAACTGTTTTCTCAATCCAATTTTGTTCACACCACTACCAGCATAAGCACACACCTCAAACTGGAACACGAATTATCATACACCACGGCCTGCTCTCTTCTTTTAACTTATCTGCTGAGTGCTGGTGGAGAGTTATAAAAAATAGCCCTCCTACCCCCACCTCACAAAATTATAAAGTATCCCATTCACTATATGGGCAAACAAAAATTAAGTCCAAATTCCTACTCCTTATGTTACTTGCCCTTGCAAATAATGTGGAGTCTAACCCTGGTCCCCCAGCTAATTCTAGTCCTAATCTCCCCACTAAAAAAGGCCTCTCTTTTGTGCACTGCAACATCCGTAGTTTACTCCCTAAACTGGATGCACTGCAAGCCTGGTGTTCCCATTACAAACCAAAAATCATTGTGCTCTCAGAAACATGGTTAACAGCTAAAATACCAGACACCGCCATTGCAATACAAGGTTATTCATGTTTTAGAAATAACAGAGCAAAGAGAGGAGGAGACATTGTTATTTATGTTAACAATTCCATAAAGTTTACCCCTTTACAAAACCTTAGTCCTCCTGCCACCTTTGATTTCCTTTCTTTCACAATTGAGATCCAGTGCAGTAAATCAATCATTGTTGCAGGAATCTACCGCCCACCTAGCTCCCCTGTGCATTCCCTTTCTGACATAGCCCATCTCCTTAGTGAAACCATAACGCAAAACCCAAAAAGTGAACTGTTGGTCTCTGGAGATTTTAATATTGATTGGCTGAATCCTAAAAATAATAGTTCTTGCATGCTGTTTAAGACGTTGCAGCTAAATCAATTAATCTCCTCCCCAACTCGCGTGAACATTAAAAGCCATAAGCATACCCTGCTCGTTGGATTCTCTCCACTTCTCCTGATAGGATCCAGGAGGCCGGTGTTCTCCCAAACATTTTCAGTGATCACTGTTTAGTGTACTGCGTGCGCAAAATAAGGCTATTAAATCCTCTCCCAAGGTTAAAATAACTAGGTTCTTCAAAAAATGTAATCTTGAATCCTTTCTAAACGACATCAAGAACCTCCCATGGCACAGATTAAACATTATCCCAGATCTAGACTGTGCTGTTGAATTCTTTCAGTCTGAACTCCTACAAATTTGCAATTTGCATGCCACGCTGCATAAGGTGAGGGTAAAAGGAGCACATATGAACTGGATCACAGCTGACCTCATCCAAATGTACCAGTTTCGGGATTCTTTATGGTCAAAGTTTAAGCGTACTGGCTCTATGAATGATCACTGTGCATATAGACAATGACAAAATATATGCACAAAACAGACAAAATTGGCCAAGGCCCAATATTTCTTTGAAAATCTCAACAATAACATCTCAAACCCTAGAAACTTTTGGAAAGTCATAAATAAACTACAAACTCACAAAATCCACTCCCAACCCTCCACTGTCAAAGTGGGTAACCAAACCCTGCAACTTCCCTTAGATGTAGCAAATGCCTTTCACAATTATTTTGTCGGATGCTCTACTGCCCTGATTGCCAAGCTAATAAATGATACGCATCCTGAAACTACTAATGTGGATCAGGTCACACTAAATTTGCAAAGGCCCAATATAGACAAGTTTATTTTTAGACCTGTACCTGTTAGTGTCATTAAAAAACATCTTAATAATCTAAAAATGAAAAACCAGTCCGGACCCGATCAAATCCCAGCAATGCTGTTGAAGCTCAGTGCGCCGGCAATTGTTAAACCCGTCTCAACTCTAATTAATGAATCCTTGGTGTCTGGATACATACCCAAACTTTGGAAGACTGCGAGAGTAGTGCCTATCCATAAAAGTGGTGACACTACTTTGGTTTCTAACTATAACCAATTACCATATCAAAGGGTAAAGCTTATCCCACTTTAATAAAGGCATACATGATCCCTGGTCACCATATTAGTTTGATGACAGAATGTCACCACACCCGGTATTGTCAAAAACCTTAGAAAAATGTGTCCATATGCAACTTTGTGAGTACTACCAACAATTTAACTATCTGACCCCTGATCAGTCGGGCTTTTGCCAGAATCACTCCACTACAACTGCCCTCTTAAAAGTTTGCAATGACATCCAAACTGGCATGGAACAAGGAGCCCTAACTGGAGCTATTTTCCTTGATTTTGCTAAGGCCTTTGACACAGTAGACCACGACATTCTACTGCACAAACGCAAAAACTCAGGTATTGATGATCTTTCACTAACCTGGTTTCGATTGTATGTATTGGATCGCTCACAATGTGTGTCCCTTTCTGACAGTGACTCCCTCCCTCTCCCAGTCACATGTGGTGTTCCCCAGGGTTCCATTCTCGGCCCCCTACTATTTACATTATTTATAAATGATCTGCCTAACGTCTGCAAATCCTCAAATGTACACATGTACACAGATGACACGGTAATCTATGCGAGCAAATCCGATCTACCACAACTCGAGGCTGTGCTCCAAGACCAGTTTACAGAGGTAGAAAGGTGGATCGCAAAAAACAAACTCTTCCTGAACACTGACAAAACTGTCAGAATGATCTTTGGAACAGTACCTAAATTACACAATTCCCACCTATCCATCAAAACAAATTCAAATGGCACACTGACCGCAGTCCACTCTTTCAAATACTTGGGTATGATATTAAACCCCAACTATCTTTTGGCCTGCACATAGAAAAGCTTGCATCTAAACTTTATCTAAAACTAGGTGTCCTGTACAGAAACAAATCCTGCCTAAGCCCACAGTAAAAGAAAAGATTGTACAGCAAATGCTGATGCCAATCATTGATTATGGGGATGTAGTATATGCATCTGCACCTCATACCCACATTAATAAACTCAACACATTATATAACTCGTTCTGCCGATTTGTGCTACAATGTAATTACAGGACCCACCATTGTGACATGCTAAAAGAACTAAACTGGTTGTTGCTGGAATCCAGACGCACCCTTCATCTTTCCAGCCTTGTGTTTAAGAGCTTTTCTGAGAAACTCCCACCCTACCTGAACAAAATGCTTTCCCCATCTGTTCCCACTTTTTATAAGCTCCGATCCAGTACCAACACTTTACTTAGTCTACCTCAATACAAACAGAAAACGTCCCGATTCTCCTCCTACAGAGCACCGCAATTGTGGAACGACCTCCCGCAAAATTTAAAATCATCCCTAAGCCTAAAGTCCTTTAAGAGATCCCTCTCTACATACCTTGAAAACAGAATGCACCTGTCATGGTTGATTATATATTTCCTACCTGTTCTATGTTAAATTTTGTATTTATTTTGTATTAATATTGTTTTTGTATTTTATTGTACCCTAATGTAACAATGCAATGATTTGTGGACCCAGGACATACTTGAAAACGAGAGAAATCTCAATGTATCTTTCCTGGTAAAATATTTTATAAATAAATAAATAAATCGTGTTAGACTTAACAGACTGTCCAATAGGCGATCGTAATCAGCGGAAGGCAGTAAATTAAAATCTGAGGATAGATATGAAAAGTGCTGCCTTGGATTTAATGTTGCGCTTGACAAGAAATCTAATGAATGATCGTTATCAGTGATTTCAGTCGTTCCTTCAATATGGTGATCCACTCCTATATATATATCACAGTGGGGCAGGGCCGCCACCAGATATTTTGGGGCCCCTAACTCAGCTCAGGGTCTTGGGCCCGCCTCCAAATACCGCCCACTGGGCCCGCCTCCAAATACCGCCCACAGGAATACACACACAGACACAAACACACACACTGATACAAAAGGACACAGATACATACTAACAGACACACATACTGAAACAGACATACACGCATACATACTGACACACACAAACTGAGACATACACACAGGCATACATAGTGACAGACAGACACATACTAACATACATACAGACACACATGCATGAGGACATGAAGGCCCATACATACATACAGACACCGACATACATACATACACACACACACACATGCATTCATATATACATACAGACACTGACATCCATACACACATACATTCATAATGGCATACAGACATACACAGACATACATTCAGAATGGCATACAGACATACATACATACATACATGCATATATACAGACATACATTCATACTGACATACAGACATACATATATACATATATAATGACATACAGACATACAGACATAGACATACATGCATGCATACAGTCAGACAGCCAGACATAGACATGCATACAGACAGACATACATACATATACATACATACAGACAGACATACACATACAGACAGACAGACATACATAGACATACATGCATACAGACACAGACATACATAGACAGACATACAAATAGGCATACAGACAGACATACATGCAGACAGACAGACATACAGACAGACAGACATGCAGACAGAAAGACAGAAAGACAGACAGACATACATAGACATACATGCATACAGACATACATACGGACATACATAGATACACAGACAGACATGCATGCATGCATGCACACACACACACACACACACACAGCTAATTTTCCAGCCACCCTCCTGTCTCTTACCTTTTCTTTGCAGGAGGATGGCTCTGGATGATGGGAGTCGGCACGGCTCCCTCTTCACTGCCTGGCTCTCCCTCTTCACCCGCGCAAAGTGGGCTGGGAGGAAGTGACCACTACCTCCCAGCAGCACTTGCGGCTGCTTTTTTTTTTTTTTAAAGGGGCCTGGTCGCGCTATACCACGACCACAGCGCTGACCTGGCCCCTGAAGATATAGGGCCCATCGGATGGCCCACACGTGGTGCCCGGGCGGCCAGGCCACCCAGGGCCGCCGGCCCGTGACAACCGTTATGGTTGTCACCCCCTGATGGCGGCCCTGCACTGGGGTATTAGAAAGTGAACATATTTCCATAGAAAGCAGCAAAAATCAGACAAATATGAAAATAGAGACTCAAATTAAAGTATGGCTAGGTATGAAAAGTGCTGCCGCTATGTAAAATATTAAGCCTAGCAAATTGTCCAGTAGGTGATCGTTATCAGCGAAAGACAGTAAATTACAATCTGCAGCTAGGCATGAAAAGTGCTGCTGCTGGATGTAATGGTGCACTTGACAGGCTATCTAATGAATGATCATTATCAGTAATCTCAGCCATTCCTTCAATGTGGTCTTGCACTCCTACATATGTCACAGTGGATATAAAAGATGCTGTCACAAAAATAATAATCTTTTTATCATCTCAGGAGATTATTCCTATAAGTATTTATATCAACCAATTTTCATTTGTAATGCCCAGTTGGTTAACTATAATTAATGTCCAACAGAAAATAATGGACACTGGATAGAAAGGTTCCAATGGTGAGATCTGTATTTAGGAAAAAGACCCAATATTAATTAAAATGTCTATCTACAGAAAAAGAAAGAGACCCTAACAGGGCCGGACTGGGAAAAAAATTCGGCCCGGGCATTTTTTTTATCACAGCGGCCCACTAAGAAGGGGGCGGGGCAAAGAGGGTGTGTTTTGTCATCACTCATGACAAACACGCCCCCTCTCAAAGTGAGCATGTTGGTTCAATGCTCTTCCAGGGCAGATCATGCGCAGAGCTCTGCTGAAGAGCTCTAGCATGAGAAAAAAGCCCTGTATTTGTTCTGCGCAGTGCAAGCAAATTTAATAACTTATACAAAAAAAAAAAAACAAGTCCTGCGCTTGCACTGTGTTTCCTTGCAACTTGTCTCTGGTGTCTCTATAAATGGATACCAGGAGTCAAAAGGGCCAGGAAAGAGTATTGTGCATGTGTTTGGAGCCTGCTTGGGGTATTGCGTGTGTGCAGAGTGAGCTGGTTGTGGTGTGGTATTGTGTAATAAGGTCGGTTTTAGTCGTGTTGTGTTTGTGGTGTAATTTAATGCATATGTGGCTAGGGGCTTTAGAGAATGTGTGTTTAGGGGATGTAGCAAGTGTGTGTATACAGGCTATAGTGTGTGTGTGTGTGTGTGTAGGTGATGTAGTGTTTGCAGAGAGTGTGTGTTCAGGGAATGTAGTATGTGTTTGCTTACAAGGAATCTAGTGTGCGTATAGGGGATCCAGAGTGTGTGTGTGTTTGAAGGACCCAGAATATGTATAGGAGATCTAGTGAGCGTGCGTATATAATGGATTCAGAGTGTATATAGGGATCTAGTGTGTGTATGTGTGTAGATGATCCAGAGTTGGGTAGAGGATCTAGTGTGTGTCTGGAATGAAATGTGTTTAGGGGTGCTGTGTGTGTGTGAGGGGTGTGTGTGTGTGTGTGAGGGGTGCTGTGTGTATATTTATATGTGTATATATATTATATAAATATGTTTGGAAGTATTGTGTATGTGTGTGATGCAGTGTATCGGGGGGCTGTGTGTGTATGTGAGGGGTGCAGTATGTGTGTGTGATGGATCATGTGTGTGAGGTGTGGGTGCTGTGTGAGGGTGTTGTGTGTGTGAGGGTGCTGTATGTGTGGGTGCTGTATGTGATTGATTTGTGTGAGGGTGCTGTGTGTGTGGGTGCTGTGTATGATGTGTGTGAGAGTGTTGTGAGTGCTGAGTGTGAATGCTGAGTGTTATGTGTTTGAGAGTGATGTGTGAGAGTGCTGTGTGTGAGAGTGTTGTGTGTGATAGTGCTGTGTATGATGTGTGTGAGAGTGCTGTGTATGATGTGTGTGAGTGCTGAATGTGAGAGTGCTGAGTGTGAGAGTGCTGTGTATGATGTGTGTGAGTGCTGAATGTGAGAGTGCTGAGTGTGAGAGTGCTGTGTATGATGTGTGTGAGAGTGCAATGTGTGAGAGTGCTATGTATGATGTGTGTGAGAGTGCAATGTGTGAGAGTGCTGTGTATGATGTGTGTGAGAGTGCAATGTGTGAGAGTGCTGTGTATGATGTGTGTGTGTGTGGGGGGGGTAAATAAACAAATAAAAAACTATGGAGGGGTAAATAAAGAAATTTTAAAAAAACCAACTAAGTAGGCATTATATCTCTCCCCCCCCCCTCCTTACCTTTAGCCTGGGAGGGGGGACAGGCACGTGGTGTCTAGGAGGAGGGGGACCGGCACACTCACATCATCCCTGGTGGTCCAGTGGTGAGTGAACTCTAGCCTGAAGGCTAGAGTTCACTCTCGCGAGATCGGGGCGTTGCCATGGCAACGCTCCCGATCTCGCGAGAGGAGCCCGGCGGAGCTGCAAGATAGAGCTCCGCCGGGTCCTCTCCCTCCCTCCCCAGCCGCAGGTCTGTTTAAATGGGCCGGTGAGGGAGATCTTAGATCTCCCCACCGGCCCTCCATGGCAAACAGCGAGGCCGGCGCTATGCGAGCGCCGGCCCTGCATAGACCGACAGGGGAGATCCTGGGACCTCCCCTGCCGGCCGCGGCCCACCGGGCATTTGCCCGCTGTGCCCGATGGCCAGTCCGGGCCTGGACCCTAATCACATAAAGTCTCCCTTAACCCTCCTACAAATGCAGAGGTAGTTTAATAAAGTAACAAGAAATCGTAATAGTAAGATAATGTTCCCAAAAAGAATGATAAATACCAGAGTTCATAATAAGTATAAACTTGGTACAGAGAATAGCAGGCAAAGTTAGAAATAGTTAAATGAAAGGGGGAAATGAGAAGCCCTCAGCCTAAATGCTGTTATTTTGTGTACTACTCACCTTTTCACTCCTGATGAAGTCTAGAGTACAAGACAAAACACTGCTTTTTGCCCACAACACCTGTGAGGACCCCTATACTTCATACCATAGAGATTGGGACCGGGGAATGCAGAGTTATATTGATGGGCTTTTGATCGCCTTGTGTGCTGTAAGTGTAAACATTAAAGCGTGTGATTTTATTAAATATCAATGCTGTACTATGTATTTTTATATCTTTCCACAAGCATTACTGGATATCTGAACAACACTGGATCTATGGGATTCTACACACTATTGATGAGCCTTAATTTTCTGCCAATTTGTGAGTGCAACTTTGAAATTGGGGTTTATTACAACTAACGTTATTACCCTATGAGTTTGTTTTCCTTTCTCTATTTATGTTCTTAGGTATATCATGTTTTTTCTACCTGCTAGGACTAGGACTACACTTTGCTGCTGGTCTGGGCCCTGGTGAGCTCCCGTCTGTCCCTTCTCCTGGGTAACCAGTCTGGGCAATTAATCCTCAAAACTTCACTGGCTTTTTTCTAACAGCATCCAGAATTCTCCTGTATTCGTTTTTTTTTTTTTTTATATTCTTTATTTTTATTGTGCAAAAAGGTTTAAATACAGGCATGTCATTTGTCATGTGTGGTGGGCGTTAGGCAAATATAACTATCAATGTAAGGCTTCAACATATGTGGCTGCTGGTCACGGTCACGGTTACTCCCCCCGTGAACAAAGTCCGTTATGCTTCCATGTCTCTGAGTAAGGGCCAAGGCCTTGATATTAAAGGAGATTAATACCTGTGGGTTTGACTGTGTGCAGGAAGGCAGGACCTGCCCGAGTCTTAGCTCTGGGTAGGTTAGTGGGTCAGTTACAACTCTGTGTGGGTGACATGTCTGGGACAGGAGGCTCTGTGCTCTATTTAGTTTTACAACCCCTTGTGTGTACCCTCTCCTTCTGCCCCATGGCACCACAACAGTTAAGTCTGCAAGTGTGTTACTTTCCCACTGTGTCTTATAATATCACAACAAAGCTATAAAAACTCTTACAAACTTCTATGAGGCTGTCAAAATGCACTGTAAACATAAACTAGTGGCAGGTAGAAGCATTGATAGCTGTCCGTCCCCAAGGATTCTAGTCCACATCGCTGCTGTGTGAGACCCCCAGAGACCATCAGCCTAGTCAGACTTATGGAGGGTTCTGTAGCCTGGGAGTAACTCCGCCTTCCATCGCCCCAGAGTTAATGTCCCCGTCAGCCCTCAGGAGCCTGGTGACGGGTAGGAACCTGCATCTGGCCAGCAGGATTGAGAATGGTAAGTCCGCGTATACTGTTATCTTGCAGGCATCCACTTGCACGCTGGGGCACCTCCTGGAGCAGGCCATAATAGCCGATTTTATTGTTGTGTCCCGGGTTACCACAATTATGTCTCTGGGAGCGTCCACTGGGGCGGTCGATGCTTTCCTTATTCTAAAGGCCATCACAAATTTTGGTGAGTCTCCTGCTCTTCTGGTCCCCATTGCTTTTGTTACCTTGTGGGCGAAGTCCAGTAGGGCTTCTGGACTCACTGTTTCTGGTGCTCCCCAGATAAGGACATTCCTCCGGCATTATCTTGCCTCCAGTGAAGCCACCGTACGGGAGGGGCTTTGGACCTGTTGTGTAAGAGCTTCCACCTGGGAGTAGGTGTCAGTCAGGCGTTGTTCCCGGGTTTCCTCTCTGGATTCCACTGCCGTAATCTGCTGCCGCAGCCCGCCATCTTCCACCTGCACCCCCACCAGGTCTGCTTTCCACACTGCTCTTAGGTCCTGGAGGAGTTTCTTGATGTCTCCCTTTGTGGAGGGAGAGGCATCCGAGTCTGTGTCCACCCGCAGATATACTCTGCTGGTAGTTTAGGGCAATTCCTCTTCGTCTCTGGAGTCGCTGGAGCCATGTGGCCTGCTCGGCGCCATTTTGTTGCGGGCCTGTCGAAAGAGAGTCTGATATCGGGGTGAGTTACATTCTCTGGGCAAGTGTTTTTTTTGTGTTGGAGCCCCATTGCACTTCGGGAGGCAGCCAGGCGTTTTTGGGCTCTTTTCCGAGGTATTATATTTGGTAAAAAGGCTTCTTTTACAGTGTGTGGAGCCGGAGCAACACACATGCACGTCTGCTCTGTATCTCAGCTAGCCACGCCCCATCCTGTATCAGTTTTCTTATACTATGGGTCTCCTATCTTGCCATGCCTAATTCTAAGGTGTCTGTATACCCCCCTACCATGGGGATGGATACCCCAGTACTATTGGGAAATGCCCCTTCTACTGCTGGCTCCCCCCCTGACTCTCGCAGGGAGGACGCACAGTCCTTGGTGCTGCAGCGGTCTGTGATGGACACCATTATGGCCTCTATGGGATCTATGTCTTTGGCCTTGTCCTAGTCTATATCTCAAGCATTGCTTGCATGCCCATCTGGCACAGTGGCCACGGATCCCTCGATGCGCATACCATGTCCTGGTGTGGATCTCTTAAGAAAGCGTTTCTAATCAACGCAAAAGAGACTTGCCATGTCAGGCATAACAGGCGTGGCGGTGGAAATGTTTGAGAGCACAACCTGAGAGTCACTCTGACTCAGAAATAGGGTCTAGCGAGGAGGCTGGTGTTGAGTCCTCTAGTGACTTGGAGAAAGATTCTGGTTGAATGTCTTGACCTCTTTACCTCCACTCCGGCAGAGATGACTGCAGTTGACCCAAGGCCTGATCCTTCTGTGGAGCGGACGCGAGTCTGCCCTCGTGGATCCGCTGGGCAAGCCCCTTTCAACTTGGATGACCTACATCATTCTATGTTGGCCGAGTGGCTCCCGGTTGACCACATGGTCCGCTACCTGGAAACCTGGGAGCCCTCTTAGCAAGGCAGCCCAGGACAAACGCAGGGCTGAGTGCCCTAGATCTGTGGTACCTAACAAGGTATGTGACCTCGAGGTTGACCCAAAGATGGCCCAGTTCTTGGCCAAACTAGGGTGCAACCTGCGTAAGGTCCTAGATTCGGCACTCAGGTCCTGCCATGTGAAACACTTGGACATCTTTGGCCCCCTGGCCAAACTATTTGATCTGGCGGAGGACGCCAGGGCCAAGAACAGGCAGGTTGACCTGACGGAACTCCGCGGTTGGGTCCAAAGGGAATATCTCTATTGCGGGCAGGGTGAATGCATCCCTCTCTATGTAGCAGCGCAAAGCCATTTTGTTTAAGATTGAACCTAAGTTGGCCAATCTTGCCCTCACTGAGGGTGGTAAGGGGATTCCTTCACAAAGGATATAGGGCATTTTGATGGGGCATTTACTGCCCTGGTGTATTAAATTAACATTCCCACCCCTTAGCAACTTAACCTCCATAAAGTTGTTTTGGTGGCAGGAGTGGCTAAGCATTGTATAATCGTCAGGGGTTAAGCTGCCTTAGAATCATTTAACCTTGAAGTTAGTCCCCCAGCACCTGACTGCTCTGCCTCCTCTGTCCTGCCTCTGGCTGCTGTACAGTCCTGGGAGGCCAGAGATAGGCTGAAATTATCAGCATTTTGAATGCATTTAGAGTAGCATGTGGCTAAGATGACTCCCACACCTGGAAGAGTTGTGGAGGTGAGTGTGTTATTTACTTACCTTCACTTCCTTCCCATTACAATAAAAGCTTCTATCGCTTGGGGAATGACAGATGGGAATCTCATTTTGTCCTGCATTAGGGAACAAAAGACACAAGAACCTGCGCAAAGCTAACTCAAGTAATTTTGGCCTTTTAAGAATGGGCAGTTTAGTGGTTTGCCTTACATAACCCCCTCCAGTCCAATTAAAAACCTCTCATTGCGTGGATATATGACAAAGTGAAATGTAATCTAATGGTTCTTTTGACATGTGCATATATGTGGCATACATATATATAAGAGTTAAAAAATATATTCCACCTCCTCCTCATGTTTTGCAAACTGTAGTTTAGCCCTGGTGGGGAATTTTTGGAGTATGCTGCATTGTGAAATGCAGAGGCAGGCAGTGACATAACCACAGTCGCAAGGGTCACATCTGCGAGTGGGCCCTGTTGACCACAGCTGCCCTGTCGACCCTTGCCCTGGTCCACTGGGAATTTCCTGCCAGCATAACTTCTAATCTGATGTACGGCCGCACTGGCCAGGTGCGCACAGTCACTGGGTTACCGGCAGCAGTGGAGCACACAGCGCAGTGTTTCCCTCCCGCCAGTCACTGAATGTAGCATGGCCAAGCAGATCGCAGTCTGACAGGAAGTGCTCACTAAGAGCAACTAGCACCTTCCTGTCAGACTGGGTACTGCAGTCCACTCAGTCTTGCTACATGGTGGTGAGCAGGTACAGGAGGGAAGGTGGGTGGGACGCTGACACACATGGGGGAATGAGACACATGGAGGGGCTGGTTGGGGGAATGAGACACATAGAGGGACAAGTTGGGGAGAAAGAGACATGAAGGGGCTGGGTGATATGAGACAGATAGAGGGGGGATGAGATACATAAAAGGTCCGGGGCAATTTTCACACCGGGACCCGGTGGTTTCTAGTTACGCTTCTGGAGGCTGGGGGTTTCTAGTTACACCTCTGTCTATAGCTCGCTCTGTGCTTATACAATAATTTACAATGTGTAGATGTGACGAGTCAGCATTAAGTTATTCTCTGACTGTGGTGTCAAGCTTGGCACCTTACACTGTGGAGCGCCAGCCAATTTGAACAGCCCTAGATGGTTTCAATTAAGTGAACTCAGAGCTAAATACGTATGTGTGGTGTTTCAGCTTGAAACACTGTGCTTACTGATTTATTTTTGTGACTAGATGTACCCCTAGCAGAGGTGGCTCTCTAATTTGGTGGTTTAGACGGTCGCCTAAGGCTTCACGCTGGCTGCGGCCTTGCGGCTGCCTAACCACCTTTGGGCAGACTAATGTGTCGGGTCCTCGTTCAGTGTCAACCCTTCCACACACAGTATCCCCTCCCTCATATACACTGTAACCCCTTCACAGACACACTGTCATGCACCCCACACACTGTCACTCACAACTATGTTGTGTTACCATACTCCCTCACATTGTCACCCCTCCCCACACTGTCATGACCCCTACACTGTCACCCCCCTTTCTCACAATATCACCCCACTGTCCCACACCATATCACCCTCCTCCTATACAGTATCCCTCCCTTTCCATACAGAATGACCCCCCACACACATAGTATCACCCCATTCCATACAGAATCACCCCTCTCACACACACATAATGTCTCCCCCTTACACACACTGTCACCCTCCCTCATACACACTGTCACCCCTTCACACACACACACACACACACACACACACTGTCATGCCCACATTAACAACTCCTAGTCCTGTTAATCTCACCCCTTCCAAACTCACCTGCCCTCACTCTGCCACACTCACCCTGTCAAGTTAACCTCCCCTAATTCTGTCACACTCTCCCCCCAACCCAGCCACACTTATCCTGTCACATTAATGCCTCTAATCCTGTCAACTCTGCCACATGCACCCTGTCACATTAACCCCCCTTAATCCTGTCACACTCGTCTCTCCTACCATGCCACAATTGCCCTGACACACTTCCTCATCAAACCATGCCATACTCCCTGTACCTCATTCTCTCTCACAACCCCCCCACCCTATCCCATTTACCCCCTTTGCCCTGTCATGCTCTCCCTGCCACTGGTACGCCTTTACTCACCTTGTCACAGTCACCAGCTGAGAACATTCATCATACACACACAGTCAGGAAACATAGCTTTGCCATAAACAGAATGCACAAAGGCCACAGGCAGACCCCCATACACACAACACACTTCAAGCAGCTACCCCATACACATGCGCTCCCAGACAAAAATGCAAACATGCTCACAGAGACATACAATCACACACACAGGATACTCTGTCAGACACACACTCTCAGGCACATACACAGGTAGATAGTGAATCAATGTGTATATGTGTGCATGTATCGCAACTCTATTTTTTTCACTTTGGTGTTCGTGGGGTCTCATATTTGAGTTTTGCCTCAAAGTCTAGAACCGCCTCTGCCCCCTAGCACACGTGACTCTGCTTCGGGCTGCCTAATGTAAATTTTGTGCAGATTTTGCATCTGTCATCAGACGTGATAATCTTTCCCAGCTGCAAGGGGAGGATTGCTCTACTCTCCCCCCAACCACTCTGTGCTCCCAGCTGCCTCTCTCAATTGCACACATAGGTGTTTTTTGCTTTAAAAAACCATCCCTCCTCATTCACTCACTCCCCTTGCTGGCTCAGATTGAGTGTATGCACTGTAAGCTGGTGAAACGGTCAAATCACAGGTTTCTCTATTAGAAGCCTGTGATTGGAATGTGCGAGGCCCCCTGTGACTTCAGGACCGGGTGCCGGTTGCCTTGCCAGGTTTCAGGTAAATAAAACTTATTTTTTGCATGTTAAACTGGAAACGGGGTGGAGGAAAATATGTCAAACAGGACATATCATAAGGAAACGTTTCCCCCTCCAAAGGGTTGGATTATCCCTTTAACTGTATCTATTCACACCAGAATGCTGTACTTTATCTAATGTAATCACCATCCCCTTTTCCCTGTAAACGAAAGCATACATAATTGAAAGCAGACAGGCAGCCTGATATGGTGCCTGTATACAGTCCCAGTGCAGCACTCTGAGTCCATATGCAGTGGTACAAATATAGCGCAGCCGCAGACTGACAGTCAATCTGAATGCAACTGCATTGCTCCCTACACTGAGAGAGAAGGACTGGGAATGAAATACCAGAAGACTCATATGCCACTGATCTCCCTCCTCCCTCCCCCCACCACCCCAAAAAAAGGAAAAATAGATCTCTGTTTCAAGCTCCACAATTTGTAGGATGCAGAATAGATTTGGGAAATATATATCTAATTTCCTCCCTCTTCAAATGAACAAAAAAAAATAATATTTGCCATGTTTGAAAATGAAAAAGTATCAACATGTGCATAAAAAATGTATACATTTGTTGTCAGAATAAGTACCCCTGCACTCACCCGAAAGTGCATATATGATAATGGTGTTGCTGGGGCCAGCTAATAATGGTGATTAGTTACAGTGTAGGATTATGCGTCTCATAAGTCCGCCAAATGTCAATGTATCCCACTTTTTGCAGGTCCTGTTCTACTTAATATAATAATTATAATACCTGCTGGAATGTTCAGCAAGATCAATTTATATATAAAAGAATATCACAGTTATCAGTCAATGTAACCTTTCCACAAAATATATTTGTGAGAGAGCAATAACTTAAAATAGAACAAACTCCTTAACACATTCTAACATCAAACAAATTAAAAAAATACTAGAAATAAATTAATATAACCTGGATGCCTGGATGGAGTTGGACCAGTTGTTTCTAGGTTCTGATGTCTTACCTGAATTATTTACTTGAGTGGAGGACAGTGCAATTTGCACAAAAACAACAAAAATTGTTATTATTCCAGTCATTCCAAGGCCAGTCTATCTAAATTGAAGTTCTCAGTTCTCTGTGGAATGATATTAATCTGAGTCTTACTGGAATTTATTCTGCTCTCTGAGGAACCTCCCAAAAGAGATAAAGGGATGTGTTTATTTGTTCCAAGTTGGCCAATACCCCAAGGGTCATTGTTATGAAAGACACAGGAATGTTGTAGTAATCAGTGTTAATTGTGGCAGCAAATTTCAATTTTGTTTTAGTCATAGTCTTTTGACTAAAAAGCCATTTTAGTTTTAGTCGTATTTTGGTAATCTGACTTGTTTTAGTTTTAATCTAGAGTTTTAGTCAACTAAAATCTCCATTAGGTTTTAGCTGACACAACTTAAATCTAGTGGGTTTAGTTTAAAGCCTCTGTCTGTCACATTTGCATCCCCAGCCTCCCCAGTCCCTCAGTGTCTCTTTGTCCACCCCCCCCCCTCCCCCAGCCCCTCTGGATGTTTCACTCCCAAGCCCAAGTCTGTCTCTTTTGACCTTTCCACAGCCCCTCTGTTTCTTTTTGTGTCCTTCTGGGTGCCTCCACCCTAACCCCTGTCTGTCTCTTTTGCCCCTTCCCCAGTCCCTCTGTGGCTCTCACATTCACACAGACACTCCACAGGAATAATATGATGATACTTTGGGGACAGTGTAATGTGATTTTTGGTGATAAGTTCTAAGGGTGCTGAGGTATTTGTGTAGGTGATCTGATTTGAGGTATTGGAGGTGATGGGAATATGAATGCAAGAGATGGGGTTGGTGTGGGGTTATTGCAATGAGGGCTATGATTCAATGGTTTATGTAGCTGGGAGAATGTGAATAATTGGGTCTATGGAAAAAAGCCTGCTGAAGGAATTATTAGTAGTGATGTCCCGAACGGTTCGCCGAACGGTTCGCCACAGATGGCAAACATATGCGCTGTTCGGTCCGCCCACTATTCGTCATCATTGAGTAAACTTTGACCCTATACCTCACAGTCAGCAGACACATTCCAGCCAATCAGCAGCAGACCCTCCCTCCCAGACCCTCCCACTTCCTGGACAGCTCACTAAGAATGCAGCTTCACAATGAATGTAAAATGGATGCTGTCCAGGAGGTGTAAGAAAAAAAAGAATATCACTCTTTAGTGGTTATACCCCCAACAAATACATACATTCCTTTTTCCATGAGTGTATTCATTGGGTTTACATCTTAAAAGAGATTGCAAAAGCTGCAGCTCTCAAAAACAGCAGCCTTAGCAAGCCCTCCACTTGTAATTACATAATTGTAATTGCATCCATGCTTGGCCCCTTTTTGACAGTGCCATGAAAGGGAGGGATCATTATCACAAAAATCCAGGGTGACCAGATTTTGGAAATAAAAAACCAGGACACCATTGGGGGGGAGAGGGGAGCAGGCTATGTAAATAGCGGTTTCACAACTATGGTCTCAGGAATACATGTTTGTATTCCTGACACTATAATGTTCCTTTAAGCAAATTAAAGGAACATTCTAGTTACCAAAAAAAACTAATCTAAATGAAAATGCTATGATGCCAGGAGGCCCCTGGGTGCTCTCTTTCCTTTAAGGTGTTAAACCGCTCTCCCACGGTTTAAGCCGAAAGGCTTCCTTCTGCTCCAGATCTCCAGGTTGCTCAGTAGTATTCAGCTTCTGAAACTGAGTGTCAGGAAGTGCAGAATGACGTCAGACATGGGTGCCGCTGACTGGCTAGAGTGGTCAGCTGATGCTCTAAGCCAATCGCTAGTTCCCGTTTCAAAAATATGTTTTACTTTTTTATGAATGGGGATCTAGTGATTGGCTTAGAGTGCCAGCTGACCAATCTGCGGCACCCGTAGCAGCGGCACTCTGTGCTTCCTGACACTCAGTAAATAAAAGTGAACACATTAACACTGATATTTCTTTTTACCTGGGGAGATGAGAAGGTCTAAAGTTTTCCTGCCAGCCCCAGGGACCAAAGCCTTCTGATGTGGTGTCCAGAATAAAGTGGAGGGATCACTTCACTTGTCCTTCCTGCTCCAAACTTCCTTTCTTCTACTACATTTGACAAAGTCTTTTTATTCTGACACTGTCTTCTCTTCTCCTTGGCTCCTTCTGCTCCTTACCTTTCAGCTTCTTTTGCGCCCTAATGCTCCTTTCTCTTTCTGAACCCTTTCTGCTACTTTTGTTCCTTGCTGCTCCTTCTCCTCCTTTACTTTTGTGCTCCATCTGCCCCTTTCAGCTATGACCCTTTCTGCTACTTGCTGCCCTGGTGCAAACACTACCTTTTTCAGAGAAAAAGGGACACCTCCGAGTGGCCACTCCTCAGATGGCCACTGGTGGTGCCTCCTGGCTCAGTGCTGCACAAAAGGCAGCAGTGCTGTTCAGCGTCTCCATGTTCTGAATGGAGATGCATAATTTTCCTCATAGAGATGCATAAATTCAAGTGCGAGGCAGGGCCAGCGCGGGGCCAGCGCGGGGCCAACGCCAGGGCCGGACTGGCCCACCGGGATGCCGGGAAATTTCCCGGTGGGCCGCAGCACCTGGGGCCGGTCTGACAGCCCTAATCATTGGGCTGACAGCTCCGGCCGCACAGAGCCCCATGGGAGCAGGGGGAGCCGGCCGGCACAGCTCACACACGGCCGGCCGGGATCATTAAAAAAAAAAAATAAAAAAAAAAATTTGAGACGGGGCGGAGCTTAGTGCGACGGGGCGGGGCTAGCAGGGCTTAGCGTGCGGCGGGGGCGGGGCTTACCTGCGGCGGGGCCCGGCTGACTGCAGCATGGGAAGCAGGAAGGAGTCCCTGCTTCACCAACAACCAGCCTCCAGGAACTCCAAGCAGGAGGTAAGAAGGAGGTCAGTGTGTGAGTGTGTGACTGCCTGTGAGTGTGTGACTGTCTCTGTGTGAGTGTGTGACTGTCTGTGTGAGTGTGTGACTGTCTGTGTGAGTGTGTGACTGTCTGTGTGTGACTGCCTGTGAGTGACTGCCTGTGAGTGTGTGACTGTCTCTGTGTGAGTGTGGGACTGTCTCTGTGTGAGTGTGTGACTGCCTGACTGAGTGTGGGACTGTCTCTGTGTGAGTGTGTGACTGCCTGACTGAGTGTGTGACTGCCTGACTGAGTGTGGGACTGCCTGACTGAGTGTGTGACTGCCTGTGAGTGTGTGACTGTGAGTGTGTGACTGTGAGTGTGTGACTGTGAGTGAGTGACTGTGAGTGAGTGAGTGACTGTGAGTGAGTGACTGTGAGTGAGTGACTGCCTGTGAGTGACTGCCTGCCTGTGTGTGAGTGTGTGGCTGTCTGCCTGTGTGTGAGTGTGTGGCTGTCTGCCTGTCTTTGTATGTGTGGGTGTTTGCCTTGGTGTCAATGACTGTCTGCCTGTGTGTGTGTGTGTGTGGCTGTCTGCCTGGGTGTCAGTGACTGTCTGCCTCTGTGTGTGTGTGCGCGCATCTGCTAGTGAGGGAGCCTGTGTGTGTGTGTGTGCCTGCTAGTGAGTTTGTGTGTGTGTGTGTGTGTGTGTGTGCCTGCTAGTGAGTGAGCTTGTATGTGTGTCACTGAGCTTGTCTGTAGGGATCATATGTGTGTGTGTGTTAGTGAGCTTGTCTGTAAGGAGCATGGGTGTGTCGGAGCCTGTCTGTGGTGAGCATGTGTGTACAGTGAGCTTGTCTGTAGTAAGCATGAGTGTGCAGCCAACTATTTCAATTGCATATATATATATATACATATATACATACATACATACATACATACATACATACATACATACATACATACACACACACACACACACACACACACACAATTGAAATAGTTGGCTGCACTCTCGGATTTCCTGAAAACGTAACTTTTATTGAAATATTTAAGAGAAGATCAATGTTTCAGTCCCTCTTGTGGACTTTCGTCAGAATCATGACGAAAGTCCACAAGAGGGACTGAAACGTTGATCTTCTCTTAAATATTTCAATAAAAGTTACGTTTTCAGGAAATCCGAGAGTGCAGCCAACTATTTCAATTGTGTGTGTGTGTGTGTGTGTGTGTGTGTATATATATATATATATATATGTATATGTATATGTATATATATGTATATGTATATATATATGTATATGTATATATATATATATATATATACACACACACATATATATATACACACACACACACACACACATACACACACCCTACATAGCACAATGACTTATGGGGCTGGCATAGATTTTTTCCAGGGCTGCTTCGTATCCCCCAGTCCGGCCCTGGCCAACGCCGGCAAGCCACCTAAATGGTGAGTTTTGCACTATAGGGTCAGGAATACATGTTTGTGTTCCTGACCCTATAGTGTTCCTTTAATGCAGAAAGTCTGCATAGGGGCAGGAATGTAACTGCATTGCTCCCTACACTGAGAGAGAAGGGCTGGGAAGGAAATACCAAAAGTCTCATATGCCCACCCACTGACCCCCCTCCCCTTCCCCCCAAAAGAGGAAAATCATTTCTCTATTTAAAGCTCCACAATTTGTAGGACACAGAATAGATTTGGGATATACATATCTAATTTCCTCCCTCTTCAAATGAACACACCCAAAAAAATATTTGCCATGTTTGAAAATGCAAAAGTATCAAAATGTGCATAAAAAATTAAAAGTATACATTTCTTGTCAGAGTATGTACCCCTGTTGGTAACTGCCTATCGGAAAATACATCTATGAGGCCAGCTCATTGGACCATCCGGAGGCCAGGCACAGATAAATAAGTACAGTGCTACGCTGATGTAGGCAGGAAGCAACACTTTGGCCCTCCCTAACCACAAACATTGGCCCTCTGTGTTGCAAGCAATATTTCAATAAAAAACTAAATTGTAATTTGTGGTAACAAGTAATTTTTCAGTCAACCTAGTAGGTCAGGATACAAAAGGACGTGTTAATTTGGTCTTAAAATTTCCGCTAGTCACTAGCCAAGGCCTGGTCAGTAGCATAGAACTACAAATGTTACTATATATATATATATATATATATATATATAAAACAGGGCTGCATTCACCCGAAAGTGCATATATGATAATGGTGTTACTGGGGCCAGCTAATAATGGTTATTAGTTACAGTGTAGGATTATGCGTCTCATAAGTCCGCCAAATGTCAATGTATCCCACTTTTTGCAGGTCCTGTTCTACTTAATATAATAATTATAATACCTGCCGGAATGTTCAGCAAGATCAATTTATATATAAAAGAATATCACAGTTATCAGTCAATGTAACCTTTCCACAAAATATATCTGGGAGAGAGCAATAACTTAAAATAGAACAAACTCCTTAACACATTCTAACATCAAACAAAATTAAAAAAATACTAGAAATAAATTAATATAACCTGGATGCCTGGATGGAGTTGGACCAGTTGTTTCTAGGTTCTTCTTATGTCTTACCTGAATTATTTACTTGAGTGGAGGATAGTGCAATTTGCACAAAAACAACAAAAATAGTTATTATTCCAGTCATTCCAAGGCCAGTCTATCTAAATTGGAGTTCTCAGTTATCTGTGGAATGATATTAATCTGAGTCTTACTGGAATTTATGCTGGTCTCTGAGGAACCTCCCAAAAGAGATAAAGGGATGTGTTTATTTGCTCCAAGTTGGTCAATACCCCAAGGGTCATTGATATGAAAGACCTTTAAGCCATTTACACAGGAATGTTGTAGTAATCAGGCAGCAAATTTCAATTTTGTTTTAGTCATGGTTTTTTTTAACTAAAAAGCCATTTTAGTTTTAGTCTTATCTTAGTTTTCAGAATTGTTTTAGTTTTAATCTAGAGTTTTAGTCAACTAAAATCTCAAGTAGATTTTAGTTGACACAACTTAAGTCTAATGGGTTTAGTTAAAGCCTCTATCTGTCACATTTGCATCCCCAGCCTCCCCAGTCCCTGGTTCTCTCTTTGTCTATCCCCCCCCCCCCCCCCCCCAGCCCTTCTGGATGTTTCTCTCCCAAGCCCAAGTCTGTCTCTTTTGCCCTTTTCACAGCCCCTCTGTGTCTCTTTGTGTCTCCCCAGTCCTTCTGGGTGCCTCCCCCCCAATCCCTGTATGTCTCTTTTGCCCCTTCCCCAGTCCCTCTGTGGCTCTCACATTCACACAGACACTCCACAGAAATAATATGATGATACGTTGGGGACAGTGTAATGTGATTGTTGGTGATAGGTTCTAAGGGTGCTGTGGTATTTGTGTAGGTGATCTGATTTGAGGTATTGGGGGTCATGGGATTATGAATGCAAGAGATGGGGTTCGAGAGGGGTTATTGCAATGAGGACTATCATACAGTGGTTTATACAGCTGGGAGATTGTGAGTAATTGCGTCTATGGAAAAAAGCCTGCTGATGGAATTAAGAGGCTTTATATTTAGGTTTGCCTAAGGACTCACGAAGTCCAAAGTTACATCTTCTTCCAGGTGATATGAAGGCCAAGATTTCACTGATTCAGTGAGTGCAGAGCTTAATGATGTGATGATTCAGGATAAAATATATATGGGAATATACATCATTCATAGTGCAAACAATGTGGTAGAAATGAAAAGAGTATAAGTTACCCAAAACAGATAACTGGAAAAGGCTTCAAGCTTATAAAGGGTGAGATAGTGTGAGTCTCTGAAAAGCATGGGGCATACAATTTGCCAGCCCCAGCCTACTCGCTCCTATTGCAGCCCAGCTGACATGACCCCAGGGAAGCCACCAATAAATGATTTGTTTATTTATGTGTGATTGTATCTGCTACAGTGGTGTGTGTCTGTGAGTGTGTGTATCTATGTGTTAACGTGTGTATCTCCTTGAGTGTATCTGTGAGTGTTTTTTGTGTGTTCTAATTGTTGTGCTGTTTGGGACAGTATGAATTTTATTATACAGAAATCAATATGGATGCTGGTAGACTTGCATGGACATTACGTAACACTGTTTTAGCTTCACTAAACAAAGGTCAAACTATCCTTTTGTTTAACGATCCTGAGAAGTTAACCAGGAGAAATTCTTATCTCTATTTGCACCCTGAGATATACTGTATGTGTATGTGGATTACAGTGAATGATGCATTACTAAGATGGACTTTCCCACCTGAAATTTCTAGAATCCATAGAGCTTCAAAGGACCAAAGGAACAATGAGTTGTCTGCCCATAAATATTACAAACCTGAATGTTTTCCAGCCCACAAGATTCAAAGACTGAAGTCTCACAGAAAGCTTGCTTCCATATTATAAGGAATATAACCTGATTAAATATACTGGAACCATGCATGATCTACAAATGTACCCTAATATATGTGATTGCTACAGTAATGTGCAAATGTTTTCATTGATTGATATAGAGATAAAAAGCATTCATATATATACACTATCATTTGATGTTTGTATAGATAAATATATTTATCACTGATTCATACAGGTTAGATTATTTAATTATATATACATATTATATAAAGATATATATAATAAAACCTGTCATGTGTTAAAGAATACACATAACCAAAGACGGATATTTAAAGTAATTAATTTTAACTAACACCAGTATAGGTGAATTAACGATCTCCCTGCTCAGCTCCCTCACGCACACAGCAGTGATGCTGGAGCCCGAATATGACGTCACTCCAGCTCCGGCATCACTAAGAGGCGCATGAGGGAGCTGAGCATGGAGATCACTGCTCCCTTGTGGCCCGTAAGCCAGCCGCCCAGCAGCACCACTGGACCCCAGTGCCAGCTGCCCAGCAGCACCACTGGACCCCAGGGACCGCTCGCCAGCCACTGAGCAGCCTCACTGGACCCCAGGAACCGCACACCAGCTGCTCAGCAGCCCCACATGACCCCAGGGACCGCTCACCAGCCACCCAGCAGCACCACTGGACCCCAGGGACCGCTTGCCAACTGCTCAGCAGCCCCACTGGACCCCAGGGACCGCACGCCAGCCACTCAGCAGCCCCACTGGACTCCAGGGACCGCTCGCCTAAAGGTAGTGGGGCTGGGTGAGGTAAAATGTAAAAATAAAAATTAAATTGTATCTGTGTGTTTGTATGTCTGTCAAAAAATATATGTGTGTTTATCAGTGAGAGTGAATGTGTGCTTGTCAGTGAGTGTGTGAGAGTGTATGTGTTTGTCAGTAAGAATGTATCTGTTCTTGTCAATGAGAGCGTATGTGTTTGTATGTGTGTCTGTCAAAGAGTATGTGTGTGTGAGTGTGTGAGTGTGTGTATCTGTGTGTCAAGGTTTGTGTATGTGTCACTGTGTGTATCTAAGTGTGTGTGTGTGTATGTGCCAGTGTGTTTGTATGTGCATGTGTGTATCTGAGTGTGTCAGTGTGTGTATGTGCCAGTGTGTATCTGTGGGTGCAAGTGTGTGTATGTCACTGTGTGTGATACACAGACACATACAAAAACAGATGCACACACTTTTTCACACAGATACATACACATGCACACACACACACAGATACACACTGTGTGTCAAGGTGTGTGTATCTTTGTGTCAGTGTGTGTATCTGTGTGCCACTATGTGCCAGTGTGTGTGTGTGTGTGTGTGTGTGTATCTGTGTTTCAGATATACACAGATACACACACTGGCACGTAAAAGCACAGATATACACACCTTGACATACACCGGCACATACAGAAAAACAGTGCAATTTAAAATAAAAAAATTCAGTGGGGGATGGAGGGTGGGGGAAGGGGGTTCCAGGATGTTGATACACTATGTCACAGTTTTTACTGTTATACAGGCTGTACACTTACTACTTTACATTGTAGCAGAATGTCATTTCTTTAGTGTTGTCACATGAAAAGGTATAATAAAATATTGACAAAAATGTGAAGGCTGTACTCACTTTTGTGAGATACTGTATATACTAAGGCTATCAGAAAGTTTATATATTTTGGGTTATTGTAGTTAGACTGATGATGTTTACTTGGCAGGGTTGGTTGATATTTAAACAAATTAATCAACTCACAATTGTTAATGCAAGGGGTGCCATATTGTTAATTCATTATGCTGGGTTCTGCTGGGAATGTTTTATTGTCCATTGCTGATAAGCTTGTAGATGAAAAGAAGTGTAATGTTGATACTTAGGCTTGTCAAGTAAATTAATTGACTTGTTGATTTGAACTTCTATATGGTATAGAAAAGGGATTATAATTGTATTGTTTTGTTGCTTTGTATTTTATAGTGTGTATTATTAAACTTATATATATTTTAAACAAAGTCTGTTTATTTGCCATCTGACAATCATACGTTTTTATATCACTGCTTAAAACAAAAACTATGTGTGTGAATATCATCAGATATTATTCAATCTATATTCCATAAATATCAAACCTTAGATTACCCAACATAATACGAGGACACGGAAAACAAATGAACACATACTATGTTTGTCACAATGTAAAAACAAATATGACAAGCTGTGCAGTCTGGAAAATAGGAATAGCCCTGTTATGGTAGAATAAGTGGAATGTCAAGGCTATCTCTATTTTGTCATAACAGAGATAGAATAGTAGTTAGAATTGAAAGGGTAATAGAAGTGAAAAATTCAAACAATTCAAAAATGCTTCATAATATACACACACACACACACACACACACACACACACATATATATATATATAGTTTCATAGTATCTATTATGTGAGCTTTATTGTGTCTGGCTCTATAGATATCCCAAAACTATCTATTATAATATGCTCAATGAAGATATATGTATGTAATAATAGGACCCTCCTTGGTAATACATAATCCTGTTAGTGCTTCTGATATGTCATACTTAATTTAGAAATAGTCTCATTAATAGGAAAAGGCGATACTGATATACTGCCAGAAAATATGGCAGTGTATTATAAATTAATTACAGATCTCATACATCCAAGTATCCACAAATAAATCAGAAGGTGGTCTCTTCCAGATATACTTCCAATAAACCCAAATAGCCACAGATATAAGTAGCTCAAAGGATGATTACTAGGGAACCAAATATAGAGATTCCCTTGTAAGTTATTTGGAATAGAAGTAACCAGGGCCGGACTGGGAATTAAAAGCAGCCCTGGAAAAAAAATATTTACCAGCCCCATAATGCGTCGCGCCAGCATAGTGTGCAGATACAGAGTGAGAACAGATAACTTCAACGTAAAAAGTACTTCAACGTAAAAAGCGCACTCATAGTGTAACCGCTGGTGGTTCCCTTATTTACCACTATAATGTCTTAAAGCATAGAACTTAGTAGGGCTGACCATACAGATATCTTAGCCATAATTTTATGTAGTGTAAGAGATCCTCTATTTAACATATATAAATAATTGAGAATACAAAATAAAATAAGGATTGTCTTGGAAGCAAGATTGTCTTTTTAAATATTATTATATAAAAATATAAAATCCATTATAGCAGGGTTTATAAGATTAAATTACATGCTTGCAAATATCATTAATAGGCTAACATACCCTTCTGAACATGTCATCATGTCAGCCTCTCTGTCATTTTAAGATGGAGCAGCGTCTGTCTCCAAGTCTCTCCTCTGTTTCTTAACATTTAAAAGTACACCTATTTATACCTTAGGTGTCTACATTTTAGGGTCACTGTAGTTCATATATAAAAAAGTAACTTTTTTACTTTATTCATTTTAGGACCTCCCTTAATTTGGCAAACCTCAAGGCCATAACTAAAGGGTGCAAACGTCATGGAAATTTTCCTGACTTAGTTCAAAATGGCATCTTAAAGTCTGAATAGGTTATCTGTTGTTTATACTAAGTAGTAAGTGTACAGTCGTGGGAGATTCCCGGATTTGGGGAAGTTCCATTAACTTGGGGTTACCACAGTATATTGTGTACTGCAAGTGTCGTAGTATAGCCTTGAAGCTTGTTTATGCATTATTGTTATTGTAATTCGTCTGGGACAAAATGGCCCAAACATATTATGCACTGAGGTTATTGCTTAAAGAAACATCTATGAGAAACAATATGTTCCATTTCTTACACCTTGTCAGTTTGCAATATCTCTTAAAGACAAAGTACACAGTTTAAGAAATACAACATTTCATTCTAAAACTTGTAATATTTGCATTTGCCCGTAACACCCTCTCTATTAAACTGTGGGCATTGTAGACCATTTCTTCCTTAAATTAGTAAACCAAAGTTCTCCAACAGTCTTTTAATTTTTTTGTGCTCCCAGCATCTTTGATCATTGTTGTAACAGTAAAATATCCGTAGTATGATCTTTGCCTGTAAAGGTGGTTGATTAAAATGAGCAAAACATTTGTCTGGGAAAGAATTGAAAAGAACACCAAGTTCCAGAGTAAGATATTCTTGGATAGATCTAGATACGAATTGTAATCCAAAATTAAAAATAGTAATTGTATTTGTAATCCAAAGTCTTTAAATGCCTGTAGAAGTTTACATTCCTTAGATACCGTATTTTTCGCTCCATAAGACGCACTTTTTTTCCCCTCAAAAGTGAGGGGAAATGTCTGTGCGT